ATTTTTTTACTTTCTTATTGAAGAAGGATTTAGGTTTATTTTGATATTAAATTTGGCAAACAACCAATTAAGTCAATTAATAAAAAAACATAAAAATTTAATTTGTGTTTTGAGTTTTTTTAGAGCAAAAATCGGCTAGCACGTCTTGTGAAATTTAATAAATAATTACTGTTGCAATTTGGCTTAGAAGAGAAACAGTTATAAAAATCGAAATAACATCTTTAAAAAATAATAAAACAAAAAATTTCAAAACAAGCTAAAATAGCAAATTTAAAAGACGATTATGCGATTTTGAGAATTTAACTAAACTTCTTAAAAAAAAGAATTTTTATTAATAACAAAATAGTAAGTCAAAAGAAAACATTTGTAAGAGACGGTATTGGAATTTTAGATTAATTCTAAAAAAAATTAAAATATCTTAAGTTTTTTTTTTAAACAAGAACAAATTATAAAACATTTTATTGACTTTTTTTTATTTCTTATAGAAGAAGAATTTAGGTTTGCTATTTTTTGATATTACATTTGCAAAACAACTAATTAGGTCAATTAACAAATAAACATAAAAATTTAATTTGCTTTTTGAGTTTTTAGAGCAAAAATCGGCTAGCTCGTCTTGTGAAATTCAATAAATAATTACTGTTACAATTTGGTTTAGAAGAAAGAGAAACTCTTTCGCAAATTAAATTATAAAAATCAAAATAACACCTTTAAAAATAATAAAACAAAAAATAGCAACAATAAAACATAAAAATTTAATTTGTGTTTTGCGTTTTTTTAGAGCAAAAATTGGCTAGCTCGTCTTGTGAAAAGAGTGAAAATAGATAAAAACGGAATCCATCAGGAAAAAGTTTGTTTATGATGTGTATAAATGTTTCTGTCGGACCGTCCGAAAAAGTCCCCTTCCAATTAGTTCATTCGTTCGAAGTTTGTAAGAACTTTGTTTCTTCTTTCTTTGGCAGAAAACTTACACATTTTTTCCCCACACATCATCCCTAAAAACTGATTTGTTTCAGGGTCATGACACGTCCACTGTGACCGTAGGCTGGACTCTGTTCACCCTTTCCAACTACCCCGAGTATCAGGTAATAAATATTGATGAATGAAATGAGACGGAAGTGAAGTTAATAAATCGCGGTAGCGGCGTAACAAATGACGAGTACGGAACAAATTCCAAGATGGCGCTATATCCTTTTCAGAATCCATAAATAAAATAACATTTCTGAGATATGGTGGTGCTTGAGTGACATTCCGACGCTTTTAAATGGAAAAACCGCTTTTGATTTATTGATATTGAATTTCCTGTACACTTATCGCGGTCCTCTGAACCACTTTTCCCGAGTAATTGTAGTTAATAACCAATGACATGTGAATATTAGTGTTTCCTTCCTTGCCTGTTGCAATTATTAAGAATCGCTTTTATGGCCCTTTGCCTCATTAATTTCATTCTGTATTTTATGCTAAATTTCCCTTAATAGCAATACTGGGGTTGTAAATCTACTTGTGAGACTTCGGTTTGCTACACTTCAAAAGCTTCTTGGAGTAATAGCTATTTGAATGCGTTTTCAGGAGAAGGTTTATCAGGAACTGGACGAGATTTTCCAAGGGGAAGAACGACCGATAACGCCACAAGATGTACTCAAAATGCAGTATCTGGACAAAGTGATAAAGGAAACTCAGCGACTCATTCCAGTAGTGCCGGTTATTGCAAGGACTCTTGACCAGGACTTGGAAATAGGTAAAGAAACAAGCTTTATTTTAAGAGAGATTGAAACAACACCAAAAAAAAATATAGTAGTTTAATATACAAGTGAAAGAGAGTTGTTTATTATCTGTTAGTTTCGAAACAGAATCACGAAGAGATAATAACGTTTTCTTTTTTTACTCATTCATATTTTTTTTAAATAAAAAATTTGAAATATTTCAATTTAGTTGCTGATTTTTTTTATTTGGTATTAATTGTGTCGTAAATTTGTCATAAAATAAGAAGCAACCAAAACAATAAGAATTCGATATAAAACGGTTGTGAATAATTTAAAAGTAGTAGAGTAAAATGTGTAAAATGTAAGTATTGCATTTTTTTATGTGTCATAGGTGTTTCTAACAAATTGCGTGTGTAACATCGCAAGCACACAGAAAAAATGCAGCAAAAGTCCCAATATTTAACAAAAAATAAATATTATGATCCGGCGCATTCACCAATTTTTTGCTGTGATTTAAAATTTTTCGTTTGAATTAATTATTTTTACATACAGGGTGCGCCACAGAAAAAATAAATGCTATGGAAAGAAAAATACTAAGAACATAAAACATATAAAAAAAATATCTATAAAAATTTCGAAGTTATGAGAGATTAATTTTTACACTTTAACTCTATTTATGTTGGAGAAAAATGCTCCACGTTTTTTGCTACAGGCTATTAGAAAAATAAAAACAAGGAACCTGTTTTCTAAATTGTAACTCTGTTTAATGTTATTTGCGTTTTTTTTACTAAATAATTATAAAAAACTTATACAAGATTATCAGTATCATTAAATAAATATAAAAAATGTCAAATGTCCAAATTTGTGGACACATAGAACTTTTTAAATTTTTCTTCATATTCCTGGTATCTTATCTTACTCGAAATTTTTCACTGGGGCGCGAGTTTTGGGTAGTGACAAGAAAAGTTATTAATTTTTTGTCCTTTGCAACAGACGTGACATCAAAGCAAATATTTGAGAAACAACCTTAAGAGGAAATTTTGTTAGTCAATGGACTATTTTATATTGAAAAGATTTTGATGCATTTCCATTACGCGTCCGCAACAACAATTCGCTTAGTTTTACAGTTTTTGGCTTCTTAAATTGGGTGTTACCGAAACGAAATTTAGTTTTAGGCAAAAGCAAAATAAAAACAAACAACAAAACAATGATCAACATTATTATGTAAAGCGATATTTTAAAATTTTTGCAAGGAGTAAAAAAAATATTTGGTGAATACTTATTTTTTATTAATTTAGAAAGTGTTACTTTATTGTTTTTAATAATAAAAAAATCACATTTTTGATATTATTAAAAAATATTTATTTCAACTGTAAGAATAAACAATTATTAACGTTTAATTTTTCGCTGCTACATGAACAAAAAATAATACAACAAAAAGTTTATCATTTCATAAAATATGCATTTGAGAATAATTTTGGTTCAAAACAAAAATATTATTTTATTCCGGCGGATCCACCAATTTTTCAATACTTTTAAACTTTTTTCTTTTAATTATGTAATTTGTTTGTGTTGAGTTACTTAACATATTGATTAGGTGAAAAATGTATAAAACACTTTTCACTTATTTTTTAATAAAACAAACGTATTTCTTGAAAATTTGCTTTGTAAAAAATGGTCCACTGTTTGATTTTTCGAAAAATTTTTTATGCAATGAAAGCAAACACAACAAATTTGGTCTTAACACAACTATAAAAAAATTAAAACAGATTGAACAAAATAAAAAAAACGATAAAACAAAGAAAACATTGATAAATACATTTGTGTGTCTCAACTTTTCAAAAGACATGAACACTTTTTCCATTTCAGTGGAAAGATATATTTTGAAAATGGACTACCTACCTTAAGTTTTTGTGATCATATTAAATTAATTTTTTTATCAATTTTGAAGTTATGTCATTTTATCTATTGAAAATGAAGCATCTTTATCGTAAATATGAATATATTATTTAATAAAAAACTGTTTTTTAAATAATTTAAATTGTTATAAATACAAATTAACAAAAAATGTGTTTACTTTTGCTTGAGACCCTTTGTTGACGTATCGTAGCTAAAATGCACAATATTCTGTTTAAGACTCAAGAGCCCCAAAGAATTTTGAGAAAAAAAAAGTTAGTGGTATATTAATTTTTTTGTCAATAAGATAAAAAAAATATCTAAGGAAACAACAACATTATTAATACCTACAAGAAAAAAAAATACTTCATCGTGGTTTTAATCGCGCGTTTTCGGTATCTGGTTTATTGACCCAAGCCATTAAAGAATCACAATCGCGCTCACATCGTCCTAATGGAGGCCAAAATTAGTGCCCCAATAAATTCATAATTCATGGATCGATGGCCATTATTCACGACCATAAATTAATACAGACACCGATAGCCGCAGCAGCAATAAAATTGCATATTTAATTCTCTCCAACTTTACGCCTTTTTCCCCCATATCGTGGAGAGAATCTGGCAGCGTGTCCATTATTCAGCGATGATTAGTGCGTCATAAATTCTCCGAGATTTTTATATCAGCGATATATTTTTTCTTTCGCCATTGTCAGGACCAATAGAGACCGATAGGCAACTAAAAGTTTTACTCTTTCAACATTGAGTTGGAAAATCTGGGTCAAGCGTGTTTTGCGCAAAACTCAACTCTTGTTAATTCTCTTTCCCAGCGAGGAAACATCGCAAATGCGATATCTTCCCATGAGGCAACAATCGTTAGCGCCTCCAAGAATGCATCGTACATATTTATGGGCTGCTGTGGAAAACTTGCCTCGATTTTAACTTCATACATTTTCAGATGTTTTAAAAATCTTACCAGTTTTACTGATAAGAACAATAAGCAATTAAATGCTAAACAAAATAAAAAATAATAAAAAAATAAAAAATAACAATTATTTTTCCTAGAACATGTTGGGAAATTTTGCAGCACTAAAAGTAGAAAACGTTCGAAGGTATGTAAATTTTTCTTTAAAAAAATCCAAAAATTCGGGGTAACGTTCAAGAAGCTTTCTTGCTTTTTTATGCTCTTATTCTCTTTCTCTTTCTTATGCTTTGCTTTCTTATTTGCTCTTTTATGCTCTCTTTCTTTCTCTTATTATACTTATTAGAACATGTGCACATGTTTATATTTTGCGCTCTTATGCGCCTGCCATCTTTTGACATTTATCTGAATTGTATTTGAAATTGAATTAAGAAATATTGTTGACTTAACTGGGGTTTAAACCCCGGACTTACCTTCCGGAAAGCAGGTACACCAGTCCGCCGCCAACATAGTTTCTCTGCTCGAATCCAATATACAGGGTGTTTCGTTTTTATTGTTACAAATTTGAACAGGTGACACGATATTCAATTCTAAGACAAAAGTTTCCTATAAACATGTATCGAAAAATGCTTGGTAAGGAAACTACATCCCCTGGAAAGGGGCTAATATGTTTTTGCTAATATTTCAGAAACCATTTAAGATAAAATTACAAAATTTGGTACAGATAATAATCTTTATACACCTAAACGAATTCAAACATCAAATGTCGAAATTTTTAATGAGGGGCGTACAAAACTGGGGGAGTTTAAGGTAAAAAATACCCTATTTATTTTGGCTTTTGTTTCTCGGTACTTTCAGCAACAAAATCTTAAGTTCAATCGTTTATCACTCTCTTGCGTTGTTTTTGAATAAAATTAATTTAAAATTTATGTTACACACCAATACAACATTCAAATAAATCAGAATTTACAGAATAATAAAAGCAAGAAATTCATATTTTTTAATCAACCTCAACTAATTAACATTACATTACAGTAACAATAATAACATTAATTAAATGAATTTGCCTAAATCTAAAGGAGTTGTTCAAAGTGACCACCATTTTGGTCAATGCATAACTAAAGAAACTAAAGCCAAAATAGATAGGGTATTTTTTTACCCTAAACCCCACCAGTTTCGGACCCCCTGATTAAAAATTTCGACTTTTGATGTTTGAATTCGTTTAGATGTATTAAGGTTATCACCTGTACCAAATGGTTTCTGAAATATTAGCAAAAACCTATTAGCCCTCTTTCAGGGGGTGTAGCTCCCATACCAAGCATTTTTCGATACATGTTTATAGGAAACTTTTGTCTTATCACCTGTTTAAATTTGTAACAATAAAAACGGAACACCCTGTATACATATACATAGACAAAAAAAAAAATTAACCCTTTTTTGAATATTTTGCACTCCTATGAGTGCATTTGGGGAAATTTTAAACTTTTTAATTTTTTCAATTCTTAATTTGATCTTTGATCAATTTTATACTTTTAATTTTCTATCTTAAAAGAAATATTTGTCTTGTGCATCTAACAACAAATGACCAATTTCACGTAATTATTTCATTGTGAAAAATTTAACGTAATTTTTGAAACTCGATTCAAAAACGTTTTGTCTCTTTTTTGTTCCAATACTTGTTATCCAAAACAATTTTATAATCAAATTAAAGAAACTTTAAAACTAAGTTTAGAATGTGAGATTTTTGTCACCAAGTACGTAGTAATCAGCACATTATTATTATAAAACTGGCCTTTAGCAAATGAAATTTAAAGCTTGCAATCATTATATTAATAGTTATTTTCATATTAAGTGACTGAAAAAACAGAGAACAAAGCGTTAAAACAAAACAATCGTCTCGCACACTTAACACATACAGGGTGTTTACAGTCTTGGAGTTGAAAATTTCCCTAGTAATAGAAAAATACAGAAATACTCTAACCGAAAAAAAACTCACACAATTGTTATTATAAGAATGCTATTAACCTCCAAATATTGGTACAGGATTTGAGGGTCAGTTCTCAAACAAATAGTATAAAATGAATTATTTTCTTTGACAAAGTGAATTTTTGTTTTATACTACAGCGTATTAGTGAATATCATTTGAAATGAAAAATGCACTGTTGATAAAAAATAAATAAAAATTAGATAAGTTTCATTTCAGTGTTCTATGTAGACTTTGTAAATATGAGAAAATTTTAAAATTTTTTGATCATTTTTAACCATTTTTATAATAATTATTAATTGGTAATCGAGTAGGACACATTTTTTTATTTTTCAGATGTTTAATCGAGAACTTTAAAGTGATTTCAACAATTTTTACTTTTGGCAACAAAAATTAAAACATTTTAGTTATATTAATTAAGTGTGTCGCTATTTTTTATTTATAATTTATTTTACAAGTTTTTTTTTTTATTATTAAATAAACGGGTTTCATTTACTGCCTAGTCGTAAAAAACTTTGACATTAGACAACATATAATTTTAATAATAATTTTTTTATTTCTGTTAGTTCCTTGAGCACTTGAGTTATTTTCCTAAAATTTAAAGACTTTGTGAGCCATTGAAAGAGCTTATTCTCGGGCAATGACTTTATTATTATTATCATTTTTTATTAGTGTTGATTTTTATGTTTTTTCGCTTGATTAAGAAAACATCCTATATATACTAATTTTGTAAAATATTTCAGGAGTTAAAAGATGAGAATCTACAATATTGTTTTTTTTTTCTATTGTCTAACAATTTATTTTGAGCGTATTATTACAATATGATATTACTCATTTTTATGTTTTAACAAATCTTGTAATTTTAATCAAATTTTCTATGTGTGTAATTTTTGATATTTTGTGGTTTTTAGGACTTGTCAACAAATTTAAAAAATAGTTTTTTTTTTAATTAGTTTCATTTTCTTTATTTTTTCCCTTCTGATATTTTAGAGCAAGCTCAAGATGATTAAAAAAAAATAAATCTAAGTTGTAGACGTAGTTTATTTTTATACAAAATTATTTTTCAGGGGGGCGCACGATTCCTGCTGGCGTGATGGTAGTGATCCACTTGGCCCGCCTCCATAAGGACCCGGAGCAGTTTCCAGACCCGGACCGCTTCGACCCCGACCGATTCCTCCCAGAAAACGTCTCCAAACGGCACCCGTACTCATTCGTACCTTTCAGTGCCGGCCCCAGGAACTGCTTAGGTAAGTCTTTGTCCGAAAACAGGTAATGAAATTGTCGAAATATTTCTTTTCAATAATCTCGGACGATAAATCATATCGGGGCGAGAGAGATTCCATTCGGCGATATTCCGGCTAAGTTATTTTCTACAAACTGTCGGATTTATCGGCCATTGTTGGGTGGAAGGTGACACGCAGATAAATTCCCAACGTGCACGCCTGAAAAACTCCGACGTTTACATGATAGGAGTGCATTTGTCGCGTGCACCGCTGAAAAATACCACCGAGTTTATGACACGAGCCATAAAATCGAATCTGACCTGAAAAAACTCCAATAATCGTGTGTCTCGCAGTACGACAACTGAACTTTTTAATGTAAATGCTAAAAATTGCCACAACAAAATTCCTTTTAGCTAAAGAATCCGCCGTCGAAACTTTCTAAACGAATTTTGACAGGCATTTAAACTTTTATTCGCCGCTTCAAGCCTCTGTACCTTTCCGCGAATTTTATCTTCATCGCCCAATGTTATAATCAATTTCGCGCCAAAGTTTCACATGAGTATATTTTGAGACGTGTCTCCCCCCAATTGGGGCTTTTCTTCCCAAGTCACGAGGTTTTTCTGATCCTTGAATGCATAAAAGGGAGAGGAGTGGACCGATCGGTCGGGTTTTGTCTGGAATTTGACTAGGTGGAGGTTTGCCTTTTTGCGGTCGATGCGGCTTGTGGTGAATGTTTTCCACACGAAACGAAAACTTTCTGAATGGATGCCACGAAATAAAGCATAATTAGATTTACGACAAAATGAGCAAAAACAAACCAGGAAATTATTTAATAAGCCCAGTGTGGGTTTTCTTCAAAATTTTGTTGTAATAAATAAGTGAGCGACGAGCTTGGTATTTAGATGTTTGACAATTTTTTTGTTTTTTATTTATTTAGATGTTGTTTCCTTACAATTGTCAACTTTTTGAAATTATGCAACGTGAGTCATTTGTGTGGTGTTGAAAAGTACTACATATGTAGTTTTATTAGGTAGACATGATTTTTAGAGTACCTATTAAATTATTTATTTTTTCTAATTCGAACAAACGAATGTATAGATGTATAGAGTGTTTCGACTACATCCTACAACAGTTATTATAGAAAATGTTCGGAAAAAACGTTGAGAGATTTCGAGGAATGGTTCCCCAGGTCAAATTAGAGAAAAAAAATTCTGAGGAAGCTAGAGTCTGAAAATGGCGGGCACTTGTTTTTTTAATTATCTCAGTAATCGGTTTATATACATTTATAAAAATGTGTATCCGCAGCAATTTTTTAGCAGTCAAACTATTAGTGATACCAGAAATTTTGTACTTTAATTAAAAGAGCAAAAGCACTGAAGTCAATTTAGTTGAGCCATAAAATTTTGCTTTGAAAGAAGTCTTTAATTTTTTTTATCAGATTTGGATTTACTAGCTAATTTCTTCAAGAAATGTCTTTTAAGTTATTTTGGTAAAAAGAAGGTTTTTTTAGACCGTGCACAAACTTTAGCTTTAATAGAGTTGCACAATAAAAATATTTTCATGATGGTGACACTTTTGGTCATACCAAAAGTGGGTTATTTAAAGTAAAAAGAGTTGTTTTTTTTTGTGTTTTTGGATTACTTAAATGATTTTGAGGAATCTCTACCCAAGTTTAACCGTTTTCGAAATATTAAAAATTTTTTGGATTTGCACTTTTCTCTTCAAAAGTCTATAACTCTGCCATTTTTAATTATTTTGAAATTGTATTTGCGCAATAAAAAAGAAATCTTTCTGGTATATTCAAAATTCGAAAAATATCTAAAAAACCTACAAAATTTAAGATTGCGCTTGAGAAGCTTCACATACCTATTATACAATAGGTACCTATTGTATAACTCAATTTTTTCAAATAAAAAGCCCCAATTTTTTTTACTAAATGAAGAAGAATTTAATTTTGCATTGATCTGTATCAACATTTCATATACCTGTGTTTCATGTTTTCCAAGTTATCTTGACTTTTTAAGTTTTTATTCTATGGGAGGAATTCTTTAATATTTATAGTTGTTTTTACATAATTTGCTAGAGAAATATTTTTTACTAAATAAGGGACAAGTTTTTTGTTAATTTTGTTATCCGTTTTGTAAACACAAATTAAATTCATTTATAATCGTCACCAGAAATATTTAAGATTGACGTATGCAAAGCTTTATTGAGGATTAAACAGCCTTGCGGTCGGCCGTAATAGTTTTTCACTGCTGGTGGTACTACCCTGAAGATTTACAAAAGAGCCGTATTCAGGAATTTTCGTGGTAGGCTTTTAATTTATTACAGGCAAACATTTGGAAATTTATATATTAATTTAATATTAAAGTGATAATGCAGATTTGTAAAGAAACAATCTCAAAATATAGCTGAATATTAAAATAAATATATTTTTTTATGAAAGCCCAAAAACAAATTTCTGTTACCATCTCTTCCTACAAACCTTTGAAACGTGCCTGTCCTAAGAAATGCAAATTTGTTTATGGCATCTTTACCGCAAGCCCCATGAACCACCGTGGGTGGTAATCGTCTTATTCTATAATGAGTCTCAAATATTGTTGGTACCAACTATAATACAAATTACTTAAATTAAGGTTTATTTTGGATCTATATGTAGTTATATTCAATCTAATTATGGCTTCCAGATTCTGTATTTAAAACAATTACCTACTACAAGTTACATTTATAGACGTTTTGCTATAAAACATGACATCATCAGCTAAAACATTATAAAAAGCAAACAAATTTTTTGTAAGTAGGTAGGTTATGCACAAATAATTTGTTTTTTAAATTTTGTTAACTTTTTGTAATGTTTTAGCTGATGATGGAATCTTTTATGCCTAAACGTACATAAATTAATGTAATTTGTAGTAATTAATTTAAATAAAAGGTCTGGAAACCACAATAATTAAACTAAATAAATTCGAATCCTCCATTTTATCTTATAAACTAGCCACGGCTAATAATTTTTCTAAAATATCAAAAAAAGTTACTATAATTTGAAAACTATGTAACATAGGTATAAACCAAAAGAAAAAGTGACCCTTTTAAAGAAAAAGGTTTAAACCCAAAATTTTTTTAAAAATTTCAAAAAACTTTTATAATCTGAACTCGGAAAATCTAAAAACGCAATAAAAAATATAACTTTTTATTGAAAATAACAAAATTGAAACTTTCTGTATAACAGAAAGTGCCACCGTCTTAAAAATAAGCAGGATTTTACCGATTATGGCTAGGTGCATTTTTTTTTTATAAATATTATTGTAATTTCCAATACCCCTGATGTGGAGTTTAATCGGAACAGTCCCGTATAAGCGTAAATATGGTGGATATGCAGGGATAATTTTTATAATTATAAATTAAAACGTATTAAATTATATTACTCGCGTTTTTTGGGTTTTGAGTTTTTACTCTACAAAAAACATTCTACAGGTAAATAATCAAGAATAAAATTTTTCGAAATTTTTGTTTTGTTTTTAAACTTTACAGTTTTTTTAAATAGCAACCCACTATAAAACCATTTTTTACGAAGGTTATCATTTAAAGTTACCACTTTATATTTAATTGAAAAAAAATACAAAAATTGCAATTTTGACAAAAAAAATCGCATAACTCAAAAACAAAACAAAATTTCATTCTCAAAATGGATCACATTTTTTTTATTATTTTACTTTAATTATTATTTGAAGGCAAATGTTTTAAAAATGATTAAAAAAACGCTTGGTTGTATATTTCACTGTTTTTCAATAACCGTAGAAATGATGTTAGAAAAATTAGCAAATTCCTCGCTTTTTTGGCGTTATACTGGCGGCTTTTCTAATCAGCTTCCGGTCCATTACGCTTGTATAATACAAGGAATGCTGGTGTGAGCTTCCACGCCTCCGGTACATTACCTGGATTCAGATCTTTCCGAAATAATGAAGTGGAACGACAATTTGTTTTATGGCGATTATCGTTTTATTGAGAAGCGTTTTATCACGCTTTTACAAAACGCTTTTAATGGCTAACATCCCCATCGTTCAGCTCGGACAACCCGCATTCGCCACCGGATTTTCTCGTCCTTTCCAAATTGAACGACCATTATGCCAACCAAATTACGTCTTTTAAGGTTCGTTGCTTCGGAACTGCCCCAAAAAACTTACCTCTTTTTAATAATTATCGCGAGGCGTTGTCAGAAACCCTGCAGGAGGGTAATAATTATGCCAACGCCGATTTTTACCTTTTGAAAATTAATTAATTCGTTAACAACACAAACAGGATTCTTAGAAGCAAATTACTTTGACGCTACCCTTCCCTTTTGTGAAAATTTTCAACTTGTGTCTGCGGAGAGAATTATATCGGCAATAATCGATCACCCTTAACTAACTCCACGAATTATGTCTGCTAGGGCGAGGGTTGGCAAACGAACAAAACGCGTCGCAGCCTTGTCACCTAGGTAAGGCCAGAAATTTATTGCTCTATTACGGCGGCAACCGCAAGAAAGCGGCGCTAGATCAGTTAGAGGACCCTTATTTACGTCGACTGCAATTTCACTCACATGACTAGGAGACTATTTATTTTATAAAAACGGTAAAGTGTGGTATATTTTAAGCGATGTGATCGAATCCTATCAAATTTTTTAATAAAAAAATAATTTTTAGAAAGTTTAAACGAAAAAATGACAATTCGGGTCGTTTCGGGACTCTTCGAGTCACTTCGTGTCGCTTCGAGTCACTTCGGATCATTTCGGCACATTTCAGCTTCACGCTACTTAATCCAGTGTTAAAATTAACAACAATTTGCCATAAATTTTAAATAACAAAAATCTAAAAAAAAAAATATCAATCTTTTTTCAGTTAGTTTCTGAATATTATAAATATGTCCGTTGGTAAATAAAGAATGTCAAATAACTTAACTAATTGTAATGACTTATGAGAGTTATGCAACCTGCTCTCTAGGTATGTAATATTTTTTGAAGTATGTAATAATTTTCAGCTGTTGTCATGTCATGAAACTAATTGAAAAATATAAGGTGTAACTTTGTAAATTTCTTTTCACACTAAAATACGCTTTTAACACACTCGCTTGGTGTTTTTTTGTAAATATACAGGGTGAGTAATAATTAAATGTAATTTTCATACTAATGATATTTTATAATATAAAACAATCAACTTAACTTCTTATTAGTTTTCTATTTTTCACCATTATTGTAAGTTTTGTGTTTATTATATAGGGTGCGCCAGAACTCGTGCCCTTGCGAAAAATGCCCTGTAAGGTAAGACACCAGGAACTTGGAAAAAATGTTAAAAAAATCTATCTATAAAAAGTTATGAAAGTTTAAATTTTGCACTTTGACTTTAGTTATTTCTGTTGGAAAAACAATTTTTCCAGTTTTTTTTGCTAGAGGCTATTAAAAGAGGAAACAAGGAAGCTGTATTCTAAATTGTAACAATGTTCAATGTTATTTGTGGCTTTTATTGGCAAAATGTTTGTCCCTTTACTAAATAATTGTAAAAAAAACATATACAAAATCCTCAGTATCATTAAATAGATATAAAAAAAATGTCAAATGTCAAAAAATAAATGTCAAAATTTTTTGACAGATAGAATTTTTTAAACATTTTTTTCATGTTCCTGGTATCTTACCTTATTTGAAAATTTTCTCTGGGGCGCGAGTTCTGGCGCATCCTGTATACAAGATCATCAGTATCATTAAATAGACGTAAAAAAATGTCAAATGTCAAAAAATAAATGTAAAATTTTTTTGACAGATAGAATTTTTTAAACATTTTGTACATGTTCCTTCCTTCTTGTCTTAGTTGAAATTTTTCTCTGAGGCGTGAGTTCTGACACACCCTATATGTAATATGTAAATTGCACCTAATTATAAATCACCCTGTACCTTGTATTCCCTCTAATATTATGATTTTTATTAAAAACTCTGTTAATATTTTTACGTATTGCTTTAGGCATTTTGAGTGTAAACATAAATATACGCTTGATTACCTTCACAAAAACATCAAGAGCAAAACTTTAGCACATCAGAAGGCTTTTCAAGACATTTCAACTAAATACAAAGTTTTTCGAAATTTTATTCAAAATCATAAAGCAATAATCAAATTACCTTGCATGTAAAAAGTTGGAAGGTAAAAGATTTCAACTTTATTTAACAATTGATATGAAATACATACTAGTTTAGGTTGGAAAGTGGTCACTTCTCTATGAGTTGTTATGTAATATGACAGTTCCGGTTGGGAAATGACCACTTTCCAACCTGAAACGTCATATGACATAATTTTCAGAATTTGATAAATTCTTTATTGGCTATTGCAACTTTGTTTATCACTTTATCTGATTATTTTCGTCGGTCACGTGACTTTATTTCCGCAGGGCTGAAAGAAAAACTGAAACTGACATTTACCGTGCTTTGAGGTTTTGAAATCCACTCGAAAATTTTCCAATTAATAATTTTACTGTTGTATGAGAGCAAAAATTAGCTTTGGTCTGTCAAGTACAAGCGCTGAAATGAAATGAAAATTTTCTTTGACGGTTTAAGATAAATATTGATGAGTTTTCACCGATTCGATTAATTTTCATGCCTCGGTTGTTTTGACTTGACTTGAAGCACAGACCGGAAATATAATGATGTTTAAGCGAACAACCCGAAAGCAATAAACGCAACGGCACTGTTATATTAAAAATCTCTTTTGATATCGGATTTAATATAAGAGTCTTTGAACAAACTCTCAGTTTTGGCGTATTCGATTTTCACACGAGGGAAAAATAATAAAACTGGTTTTATTACAAAACTTCAAGTATTTGTTGGCTTATTAACAACTAATTAATTTGTCTCGTGTTGGGTTTTATTTCTAGTGAAAACCTCTTCAAAGCAAGCATTCAATAATTCCTAATTTAATTATTACAATATTAGGGCATTTCAATAAGCTTTCGATAATTACTCTAGTCGACAGTGAATTAGAGCGTGAATTATTAATAAACAAAGTCAAGCCATACAAAATCGACTTTCATTTATTAAATCAATTAAAATCATATCATTCACACGTAAATTGACATAAAATCAAGATGGAGTAGCTTCAAATGTCACTTTTACGTATTTTTGAAACGAATTTAAGTAACTTTTCTATAAATGGCAAACAAAGCACTTAGCGACATCTCGCGGCGACTTTCTAGTTTAATACAGAACACTGTAATACCGATTGTTTCAGGTCAAAAATTCGCCTTGAGAAACACCAAAGTCCTTCTCGCTTCCATCCTAAGAAAATACAAAGTTAGAGCAGAGAAGAAAATTCATGAAATGAAGTACAACATCGAAATTGTTCTCAGACCCCAAGAAGGATTGAACGTAGCACTGGAACTAAGACGTACATGAGGAAAGTTTCTCCTTACTTTTTGTAAATTTATTGTTGTTTAATAAATAATCATAACTGATTTGTTTATTTCTTTAACCAAGTCTATGCATACTTTCACTCAATTAGAACTCAAATATTTACGCAACTGGATAATATTTACACTTGATTCCATAATATTATGAAATTATATCTTCTGATTTGAAATGTTTGCTATTTTCCGGCGAAAATGTACACAAGAAATAAAAATGTCAAGTTAATTTAATCAACATTTATTGTACTTTGAGCTTCTTATGACTCACTTTAAACCGCATCAGTTTTGAAACCCCAAAAATGGTTACAAAACCGATAAATAAGAGAAAAAAAATAACGTCAAAAAGGTAATACTGATAAAAAGGTATGTCGGCTAAAGGACTTCGTAAATGTTGCGCCCCTCGATGTCTTAAGACAAATTCTGCCCACCACACAGCCTTGCTCAGTGATGTTTGAGGATCATCCAGCAAATCAGAAATTTCTTCAAGATTTCCTAAATATCTGGAATTAAAAAATCAGTTCAAAAGAATTTCAAATTGACCGAAAACCACGTTTGATTGTTGATACAGTCCAAAATCGACGTTTTAAGCAACTTCTTGTTCAAAGTTTTCAAATCGAGCCACGTTCCAAGCTTCAGAAATTTAACCCTCATGACATTATAGAACTGATCCCCGAAAAATGGAAACCCTAGTAAGGGCACCTTGAACCGAATCGCTTCCTCAATTGATTGAATCCCACCTTGGGTGATGAAAAGTTTCACGTTTTTGTGCCTTAAAATATCTTGTTGAGGGGCCCAAGTCAGCACTTTCACGTTTTGGGGCAAATTTCTAACCGTATCCTCAAATTTCCAAACGACTTTGTAGGGCAACTCACTGAAAACTTCCAAAAGGAGTTTCTTTTTGTCTTCAGAAATCAAAAAACTCTTAACATTTGAGCCTAAACTGAAATAAATAGCACCTTGAGTTGCCTCATCTAAGAACTGTTGTAACTCTTGTGGCAACACTTGTAGTGGTTTAATTTGCAACCCGTTTAGTTGTATTATCGAAGGCAGATTTGTTGTCACTTTATTAAAACCGGGAATGATACTGGTGAACACTAAAGTGAGATTTTTGATGATTTCGAAGAGGTTAATTTCTGGATCATCCAAAGCGTTTCTTATTATTCTCTCTTGGATGGGAAACAACAAGTAACTGGTTTGAAATTCGTCTAACAACTCAAAAACAACACAAACAACCCGCTGCCAAAAACTCAACTCTTCCCCAAACGGTAAATTGACATGATGAGTGTATACAGGGTGATTCATATTACCCACCATGCGTTTCACATGATTGGTGGCTTCCATTGACGTTACACCAATCACCGGACACTTAAATTTTTTAGCCAATCCGAACCAGCCTGGAATGTGGACTTCGACAATCATCAAGTCAAATTCCTCTTCACTTTTGATTAATTCTTGCACTTGTGGATGCTGAAGTTGCTCCATGGTGATGTTGTTCATGACGACAAACACGTGTTTCATTAATGTGAGTAGATTGGTTTCAGTGTTGATGACGTGTTGCATTTTGTGGTCTTCGTAGACCAACTTGTAGGTGAAACCCAGATCGATTTCTTTGAGGTTGGTGAGAGATGTGTTTTTGACGGGATTTGGGGTGATGGCAGTCACGTGGTGGCCACGGTTCGCGAGCTCCACCCATATGGGCTGGAAGACACTCTGGTGGCTGTAGAAAGGGGTGGGGATTATGACCAGGATTCGGCCGCAAGAAACTGAACCCAAAAGGAAAGAAAGAAGTAGTGAATTCATTTTTGCGAAATTAGGTGACACTGAAGAAATTACGTGAATTTATCTCAACTGTTTATTATGCCTCAAGGTTTTGTTTCGTGTGTTTGAGGATTAAAGTCTTTTGTTTAGTGTTTTTAATAACGTTTGCATGTAATTATCAAAAATCTTGCTTGTTGAAAACTTGAATATATAGGGTGTGTCAGAACTTACACCTCAGAAAAAAATTTCAAGTACGATAAGGTACCACGAACATGGAAAAAATGTTTAAAAAATTCTATCTGTCAAAAAATTTTGACATTTGACATTTTTTATGTTCATTTAATGGTATTGATGATCTTGTATACGGTTTTTTATAATTATTTAGTAAAGGTACAAAAATTTTGCCAATAGAAACCACAAATAACACTGAACAGAGTTACAATTTAGGATACAGCTTCCTTGTTTCCTCTTCTGTAGCCTGTAGCAAAAAAACTTGGAAAATTAGTCAAAGTGTAAAATAAAACTCTTATAAATTTTTTTAGGAAAGATTTTTTTAACATTTGTTCTATGTTTTTTCTGTCTTACCTTACATGGCATTTTTTTGTGGTGCGAGTTCTGGCGCATCCTGTATAGCGCGAAAGATCTTAAAAAAAAAACTTTTTTCGTTCCAAAAGTAATATAAATAAAAAAATTTAGACACGGTTAAACAAATAAAATAATTTAATGAAAAAGGCCTACTTTTTCCAGATTATATGTATAACAGTTATCTAACACCAAGTAGTTTTGTTTTCATATTTTGTCTTAATAATTGCATTAATCAGTAGCTACTAATCGATGTTTACGCTGAAAATTACAAAGAAATTCAACGGAAAAAATAATAATCTGCATAAAAATTCTAGAAAAACCAGCGACGCCCACAAATTATATAAAAATTTTATCCCATGGGCATGACTTTCACAATTTTTTTATACAAAAATTATTATTTTACCACAAATATTGAGACTTAATTTTGCATTTAATAAATATTAAGCACACGTGGACATAAATTATTCTAATTTTTTTACAAAAAAAGCAAGTGCTAACATTTTCCCACTCTTTTTTCTAAATAAAAGAATTTTTTAATTGTAATTACGTATAATTGTGTTGCAAGTTGATAGTCGTATGCAATTTTTATTATTTATACAATTTTGGCCAATATCTCAAAAACGAAACAAATTAGAGAAGTTTAAATGCTTGATTCAAACTGCTGCTTTCTGTTATTACTTATTTTATTTAGTAATAGTTCATAAACATGTCAATGTCAATGCCAAAACCAAGACATAAAAAATCAAAACAACTATCGTTTATTATGCAAATTCTTCTCGTTTAATTTATGCATTGTTTTGTTATTTATTACTCCGTTTAATAAGTAATAATGAGCACAAATATTAAAATTGAATTATTCAGTGTAAAACATGTTATTATATTAAGTAGAATTTTTTCGAAACATGTAAATATAAGACACTTCAAGGAAATTCTGCATTAGTGCCCTAGGTTACAAAAAACAGCTTCCACTAATTGGTAATTATGAATCAGACAGTAGATAATTTAATTTTAATTAATTTGCAGCATTTATTGTTTCCTTATTACAAGAACTTGTGCCTTATGTCATAACATTTTTCACTCAATTGTTTTTTTAATGAATAAAATGTCAAAAAAATGCTAAATGCGAAAATTTAAACGATCCCAACCTCAGATTTTTGTCATTATTGATGTGATTAAATTTGTTCTGAATGACATTAATGACACTTTTTGTGTGAATAGGCCATTAAATTAAAGATGCATTTAGACTTCTGCAACTTACTTGATGCACATTATTATGAAAAAGAGTAAATTTTTTTGAGAGATAAATAATGGTCACTTTAGAAATTAGAGTGGAAAAAAATATTTTTTGTTAGAGACATAGAGTAAAGTCATTACAAAATTATAACAAACCGTAAGCTGAAATAATCATCAATTGAAAAAATTTTATCTTTCTAGGTAAGTATTGACGTCATAATTTACTCGTGATTAAAAGAATAGAGCATTATTTTTTCCAAGTATTTATAACCAAAACCGTTAATTTAAAAAGTATGTTACAGGTTGCGATTTTACCAACTTGACATGTAGTGGCACATATGTTTGACATATGTTTACAGGTGCCTGTAACGGGTTGAAGTAATTCTGCTAATTAGCTTCTAAATTGGGAATAAAAAAAATTTTCGGTTGTGCTACAGTTTAAGTGTTGTGAAAATGTGCCTTTTGGGGGTATTTGGGCTTTGCCCTGGGTGAATTAATGAATTTTGCGCATGTCAATGACGTCACTCTCCTGTCGGCGATTACGTAAACTATCCGCTCGTGACTTTCTTGGCTGATAATCGCCAGCCATTTTACTTGTCCTTTTCGAGTGTTCCAAATGAGATCACGTCGTCAGAGTGCCCCGGTGTGAATGTTGTAGGAGTGTGTGAAATCGTGTTGAACTCGTGTTGTTGATGTTATAGTACATAGCTTAACCCACATAGATCTCTAGCCAACAACTCGCGAAAATGAAGTACCACCACCTAGTGCTGTTGTGTTTCGCATTAATCTCGATATTTTGTACGAAAAGCGCCTACTCGAAGGGTGAGTGCAAGCGAGCGTCCGCCCGCGGCCCCAATCGATCGTCGAGTTCACCCCTTGCGAACGCCCCAACTGACAGACAGGTCGATGTATTTTTAGGTTATTTCCACAGCGGGCCCGGAATTGACGACGACACTTTTTAAATGCTTTTATAAATAGCTTGTCAAGCGACTTGCTCCGGCTGGTAATATCTAGTTAACACCTGGCTTGGCGGAATTTAATCAACGTTAATGGGCCTGGGGGTGAGGAAAATAGTGGCCGAATTGGCTAATTATTACCGGGTTGCGATGACTTGGCGGGGATCGGGACGGAGGCAGTGCCAAGCACGGGCTTGCCAAGGTTTTACGGTCACCGGGGCTAATTACTCACTACATTGCTTATCGGTGATGAGTTATTGATAACGATTCCGACAATCAAACTTCAATAAATATCAATTGCTAATCTACTGGGAGTTTGACGGAAAGATCTTCATACTGAGTAAAAAACATAATTATGAAACTCCAGAATTTCTATTTTTCCAAATCGTTCGTTTCTAACTGTACTTTTCCACATTAATGTGCAAGTAGGTTGTGAAGTCTAAATGCACCTTTAATTTAAAGGCTGATTCACACTCGTGTCATTAATGTCATTCAGAACAAATTTAATCACATCAATAATGACAAATGTTGCTATTCTATGTTAATTACGTTGTTAATTTTAGTTATTCTTTGCTGTATCATTTACTTGAAAAAATAATTTTTAGGGAAGATTGAGGTTAGTATTGTTTGAATTTTTGCATGGTTGCCACCTTAAAGCAGTGATGCCCGATGAGATTAAGCTCTTGTCCCTGGATTGTAGAATTCCCTAAACTACTTAAAAAAATTAAAAAGATACTATTTCATAGGCCTATTTTGTTGAGGTAATATAATATAAATACAACATAAAAATGTGTTAACTCGAAACAAAAAAATCAATAAACAATTCAACAATAAATTAAAATAAATTTTACTAAAGAAATAAAAAAATAAAATACAAGTCAATTAAAACAAATTGAAATAAACGTGTATATTTAGATACCTACTTAATTTTTATATATACTTATACATTATAGGATTTCATTATATGTAACTACAGAAAATACATTTTTGGTTTCCTCGTTACTATGTGTGCTAAACTCATATACATACAAATGTGCTAACTTGGCGAAGTTACAATCATACTAAAAATTTTTGCAGTTTTTGAACTGTGCCATCAGCGTGAAAAAATTATAAAATCTTGACTTTTTACTGAAAATGTAAAAAATCCCTAATTATAAAAAAAAATTGAAAAAAATTTCTTTTTTCCTTTTTGTTAGAAAAATTCCCTAATCTGGCACCACTGCCTTAAAATGATCCCTTTCAACAACTACTTCGATGCACATTAACATGAAAACAAGTATAGCTACAGTGGGGGAGACGGAAAACTGGGCAGATGTGTCATTCAGTTGTCAAAATTATACTATACCTTAGGTACTCATAACCAAGCTATTAATGTTTGGCATATTTGTCTTTTGACACTGAAAGTCGAAGTTTTTGGAATCTCCAAAGTCACCCCGAGACTTGCCGTTGCGACATCCCGCTTTCAATAAGAACTATTGCTCGAGATTTATTAAAAACTGATACAACTGGCATTTTGTAAAAATTGATGTATGTCAAAGTTAATTTGACAGTTTTTTTAATATCAATCATAATGACAGTAAAGGTGCATTTATATTGACATTTTTTGAAATGACAAGAAAAGACTGCCTAGAGTTCCGTGTCGCAAACTGTACGAAATCAATTTTGTTTTTATGAAAATGGTTATCTTCTGAAAAATTAATACATTTATTAATGGTCTTTTAGAGCAAGGGTGACCCTATGAATGTTTTTAGTAGTTATGTGTTTTTGAAGGCCGAAACAGTTTTTCTCTAGAAATAATCTGAAATTTAAAAAAAAACTGGTTTTTAATGATGGTTTGTACAACTCTACAGGGTGTTTTATAAAAACACAAAAAAAGAAAAGTGCCAAGTAAAATAAGATACCAGGAACATGAAAAAAATGTTAAAATAATTTAAATAAAGTGGTGGTTGGTAACAAATGTCACAAAGTTTGAAAAATTCTGCAAATACTGCAAATATTTAATGCATATCACCTGAAATAAGGAAAATCGCCCAAAACGCCGGTGAAAATTTACTACCAACGAAATCGCACCATCTCACGAAAAGTAATATCAAAAATTTAAGGATTTGTGTAGAGAAAAAAATACACTATTAGCGAAAATGTTTTATTATTGTATTTTGAAGTACCAAGAGTTAACAACATTGTGGACAATTTACTCAATGTTGAGAACGTGAATAAAACCGTATATTTGATTTTTAATAGTGTCTGTATTTTAAATTTCAGTCTGATGACACTGATATTCTATGCCCCGCGAAACGCGTTACCAACATTTAGAAGAAAAAAAAATTTTACTAGTCTATTTCGGTTCCCGAATTGATGTCGAAATGGCTCATTACAGCATCGGTTTTGGTATTGACATAATTTTTCTTTCAGACGTAAAATAGAAAAACATTTTTTTAATGTTTCTAGTATCTTATTTTCATTTAATTTTTCTTTTTTGTGTTTATATAAAAACACCTGTATATTATGTATTTATCTTGTACATGCATTGATATTTTTGTTTAATAATAGTAGATTATGTCATTAAGAATAGAAGTGAGGCTCGTTGTGCTAAGTCTAAAGATTGAAGGTCGAGCAAAGCGAGGCCGACAACTGGACGAAGCAAAAAAAAGACCTACTCTGAATGATATATACTATTTTATTTTCAAACAGTTCACGGAACGGATATTTGGATTGTATTTACTTTAACCTTAAACGGCCATCTTGTTTTTGATTTTGATATCTGTCTATGCCCATGGGCGACTCGTGTTATCAATGGGACTGGTTAAATATTGGGTAATAATTTTGTTATTTCTTTTTTGTCGAGTTTTTTTTTAATATGGATAATCTAATTATTAAATAGTTTGTGTAACTACTGTGTGTAATGTTTCAAATGATTTCATATTGAACTCGGTTGAACCGCTCCTGTACCCCTGTGGACATTTCAACTCCGGTTACAAAAAAAAAAAAAAAACACTTCAACGGTTTCTATAAACATAGACAAAGGCTCAATTTAAATATTAAATAGATATATTTAACAAAACTTTATTTTGTGAAATTAAAAATTTACAGGCTTCACATATTTTTATACAAGTATGTTACTTAATTATTCAAGTGGAAGTGATGTTAGTGGAAAAGCGTAATGTAAAAATCAATGTTACTAACAACTAAATTTTAATAAATACTGACATTTGTTGAAATCAAAGCCACAAGCCAGAGGTTTTCGTTCCTTGTTCTCTTTCAGACAGACTTTGAACAAAATGTCGTTAAAGTTAATAAATCTTGTTTTCAAATTTGGAAGTTTACTAGCACTCACACCTGCCAAGATAGAAAAAAATGGGCTTGTGTTTCCATCAAGAACATATGCACTACTCTGGATAATACTGTTCACTGCAGGGGTGTCAATTTCCTGCATATATCGAAAACCTTTTTATGAAAAAAATACTTTCGTAGAACTTACCCTTCAGGCAGCTACGGATACCACTTTGTTTATTGTAAATATTTTCACTATTATAACAACAACAACGAAAAAGCGTGAATGGCAAAAATTTATTAAGATTTTGAAAACTTTTAAAATGAACAAAGAGAACAAAAAGATATTTTGGTTTTTGTCTTTTCTATTAATAAACATTATATACGTTTTAAGCAAAATTTACGAAACTTATGTTTGGAGTCTATCCCTGGGTGTTGAATACAACAAAATGTATACAGTAGAGTATTTTCAATTTTATGCCCAATTTATTGTTTACTATTTGATTTATGTTTTTTTGAAACTGATACTGAAAGCAGTTGAAAATCTATCCAAAGATATTAATCTTTTGAAGGTGCAATCTAATCGACTAAACAGTTCTACTTTGAAAAGAATAAAAAACGAATTTTGTTCATTGGCAGAATGTATAAATATTTTTAACAATATTTTTGGTGGGTTGATATTATTGTTAATACAATTTTGTTTTATCCAACAATTGTTGTATTTACTGAGTTTGACCGTCACTGTTATGACAAAAAACACCATCTCAGTTGTCATATTCAAAATACTGTATATTACCTGGCACATGGTTAGTTGGATGTTTCTCTCTCTTTTTATTAAACATTTCTTCAATTTAAGGTGGGGACATTTATTAGTGTTTTCTTGAGTGATCAGATAGAACAAAAAGTTAAAAACATGCAGATGGTAGCGCACAAAATTGCAGCAAATTGTGTGGAAGAAAAAGAATATGAAGAAATGAAAATGCTTGCAGATCTCATTAACCACAGTTTTCCCCACTTTACAGCATCCAGATTTTTCGATTTAAATCGAAAAACGATATTTGGTGTTCTTAATGCACTCCTTACGTTTTTAATTGTTACGATTCAATTTAATTAACAGCTTTAAAATTTAAAGTGTAAAATTAAGTCCATTTGATTACTTTTAAGAATACTACAAATTATGTAATTTCAAATATTGATAGAAATTCTAGTGGCAAGTTTTTTTATTGTTGACAAACGCGTGTTTCAAACATTTCATTATTACGTCGATACTAATAAAAATCAATCCTAAAATTTTAAATAGGTGTGTCGTATTATTTTCATCAATGGAGAGTTGTTATTCTTATTAAGATTCTAATAATTAAGTGAGTTTGTGTATTTTGTGATTTTCGACTGGGCGAAACACAAAAAGACCTACTCTGAATGATATATACTATTTTATTTTCAAGCGGATTCCAAAGGAACGGAGGATAATCTAATTATTATTAAATAGTTTGTGTAACTACTTTGTGAAAGATTAAATATTTTGGACAAAACTTTTTTTTGAAAATTAAAAATTTACACATTTTTATACAAGTATGTTACTTAAATATTCAAGTTGAAATGATGTTAGTTGACAAACGTAATGTAAAAATCAATGCTACCAACAACAAAATGTTTTAATAAATACTGAAATTTGTTGAAAACAAAGCCACAAGCCAGATGTTCTCGTCCCTTGTTCTCTTTCAGACAGACTTTGAACAAAATGTCATTAAAATTAGTAAAACTTGTTTTCAAATTTGGAAGTTTACTAGCACTTACACCTGCCAAGATAGAACAAAATGGCCTTGTGTTTCCATCAAAAACATATGCACTACTCTGGATAATACTATTCACTGCAGGAGTGTCAATTTCCACTGTATATAGAAAAGTTTTTTATGAAACAATGACTTTGGTAGAACTTATCCTTCAAGTAGCTACGGATACCACTTTGTTTATTGTAAATATTTTCACTATTATAACAACAGCAACGAAAAGGCGTGAGTGGCAAAAATTCATCAAAATTTTGCAAACTCTTAAAATGAACAAAGGGAATGAAAAGATATTTTGGTTTTTACCTTTTCTATTAACAAACATTATATACGTTTTAAGCAAAATTTATGAAACTTATGTTTGGAGTCAATTCGTGGGTGTCGAATTCTTTATTAAAATGTGTACAGTGGAGTATTTTCAATTTTATGCTCAATTTGTTGTTTACTACTTGATTTATGTATTTTTGAAACTGATACTGAACGCAGTTGAAAATCTATTCAATGATATTGATCTTTTGGAGGTGCAGTTTACTCGACTAAACAGTTTCACTTTGAAGGGAATAAAAAGCGATTTTTTTTCATTGGCAGAATGTATAAATATTTTCAACAATATTTTTGGTTGGTTAATATTATTTTTGATACAATTTTGTTTTATCCAACAATTGTCACATTTACTCAGTTTGACTGTCCCTGTTGTGGCAGACAACACCGTCTCAGTTGTCATATTTAGAATATTATATGTTACCTGGCACATGGTGAGTTGCATGTTTCATTTTTTTTAAACACATTTCTTCAATTTAAGGCCGGTACATTTACTGGTGTTTTCTTGTGTGATCAGATAGAACAAAAAGTTAAAAATATGCAGATGGTAGCGCACAAAATTGCAGCAAATTGTGTGGAAGAAAAAGAATATGAAGAAATAAAAATGCTTGAAGATCTCATTAACCACAGTTTTCCCCACTTTACAGCAGCTGGATTTTTCGATTTAAATCGAAAAACGATTCTTGGTGTACTTAATGCTCTCCTTACGTTTTTAATTGTTGCGATTCAATTTGACAGCATTTAAAGTGTAAAATTAAGTCTATTTGAATACTTAAATTATGTAATTTAAAATATTGATAGAAATTCTAGTGGCAAGTTTTTTATTGTTAACAAATGTGTGTTTAAAACATATCATTATTACTTAGGTACTAATAAAAAATAATCCTAAAATTTTATTATTTTTTAATGTCCCATAATATTTATCAATGAAGAGTGGTCATTACGATGACATAGCTAATTATTAAGATTCTAATAATTAAGTGAATTTGTATCGTGAGTTTGTGTAATTTTTTATTTTCAACTGGGTAAACCATTTTTTACTAAAACTTCTGTAATCTAAAACAAAGAGATTAACTTAGGACACTTTAGTAAAAAAATGTTTCTTTAAATAATACAAACTGTTATCTAATGTTTTTTTTTTATTTTTATAAATTGGATAAATCATTCAATTCAGCTTCTTAATTACGAATTTTGTTGTATTTTTTATTTAGGACCTTTATTACGAGTACTATTTGAAAAAACAATTTTTTAAGTAGAAATTTCATATTTGAGGATGTCTTTTTTTGACTCGGATTGAGAGCAAAAATTTGTCTAATTCAACTGGCCTAGTAACTTTCAAAGTTTACACACATCGTAAACTTGTCAAGTACCGGATAAGTCATTGGTTTATTTTCGCATTGTATACGGTTTCAAGTTGCCAAATACAATTTAGTGAATTTCAGATTTTTCGTTTTTTTTCATTTTATACCCACAATAATTCGATTTTTATACATTTTGACAAGATTTATTAGCGCTTCATGACAGTTATGGGTGAATAAAATTAGCTTAGTCAGTGGAAAATATTACGAAGTTCACAATAAATAACAAAACAATCACTTTTTTCTCCTAGCGTATATTATGCATTTTTGTATCACGTGTTTTTATTTAGATGAAATGCAATTAGCAACTTTGTTTTTTGATTAGTCAACCTTATTATTATAAAAATAAATTCAATTAAATTTTTACATGATTTTTAATTTTTTGTGTTGCACTTGTCCTTCAGGAATGTTCTTTTCTTGTAATTTTAATCCAAGTTTACCGAACTCGAGGATCATCTAAAAGGACTTTATAGTCCAGTTAAAATTAACCATTCCTTGAAATTCTTGCATTCTAAAATAACTCAATTATGTCTCTAATTGAGATGTTTCATCGGTATAACGGATTAATAATTTACACAAGTGCAACAGGCCCTAACCTATAGTAAATTCAAAACTAATAAATATTTAATGTTTCAATTGTACCGATATTTATGATTTTTGTACTGCAACTTAATAAATTATTCACGAGATGGATACTTAATTTAAAATGCTGTATTTTCCTTACTTGATTCTTCACGCTTTTGTCTTTCGCAATATTTTAATCATCGATTTGTCGTGGTATAAACCACATCCATTAGGCAAATTATAAATCTATTATAATTATATATTAATGTCGAGAATAATAAACAGACGATAGAAATTTCTTTTTACACTTTTGTGAATGAGATCCATTCGTTGAATACAATTTTTGTCCGAAACCACAAAGCATCTGCTTTAATCTGAAATACGTTCCAGTTTCCACCGGAATGAATTGAGGCACCATTTTCCCTATATAAACTTCACCAACTTTGTCATAGTTGCAATACTTGGTGTTTCTTGCAGAAAATGTAATTGAATGCAAATAATCTTTTGCGCAAGCTGTAATTTTGCATAAAAACAAGTACAAATTCATGGAGAAACTGTTTGCAGGTATTGAATGAAGCTTTCAGTCAATAGACGTCAGGCGTAATCTTAATTAGTTAATTAAGACGGTTATTATTCCATTATCTTGTTACAATTTCAAAATTCGACACAAAACTGATGGTAGACATATTGACGTCATGTCGCTTTTTAATACATCAGTGACGAAATTAACTATTACATAGGGACTGCCAACACAATTTTTGACACACGTGTGGGTGGCATTGTTGTTTTTTGATTTTTCATATTTAATACGAAAATGAAAAAGTTATTTTTCTAAATTAAATGTTATTGGTGTAGTTATTTTGCGATTATCCTCTTCATTACCTCCAGGAAATGTTTTCTTTGCAGCTTTGCTCGAGGAAAACAAACACACCACCCCTCATTAGTCCTTGTGGTATCCGGTCACAATCGATAACTCTTCAAGTTGAAAACTGTTTGTCTCGATTTATCGACCGAACGAGATTTTTCCTATGAAATAGTCGTCGTTTCGTCGTAATTATGACAATTAATGACTAACTCATTTCGACAAAGAATGACGTTGTTTGATGAGTTAATATGATGACATAAGAGAGGGACGTAAAAGGTGTCTTGCAGGACGACTTTTGGCACATCTCCCACGGTATCAGAAGGGAAATTTGATCAAGGTCACAGTAACCTTGCGAAGAATGTAAAATCGATAGCAAAATAATGAAAACTGTTTTCTAAAATAAAATCGTGCAAACAGGTGTACTAATTGAATTAGAAATGTTTTATCAAAAGCAGATGTTCATGGAAAAAATATAGGCAATTATAAACTTGAGCTGCTTTGCTTTATTTTTGAAATGGTGCCAGTACTCGAAAAATTGTGAAAATATTTTTAAATGGACAAAATTGGACAGAATTACATATGACACAAAAAATTCTTGGCAAATGAGTTCAAAAATATCTACTAGAGCTTTTATTAACTTAAAAATCTTACAGAAAGATAAATATACTCATAATAACGCTAAAACGGTTACTTTTTATATGTTCTGAAACTAATAGCAGAACCAAAAACGTGAAAAATCATAGACTTGTGAGTATTTTTATTCACAATCACAAAGTGATAATCAGATTACCTTGTATGTGCAAAGTTGGAAAGTATGACAGTTCAGCTTGGGAAATGGCCACTTCCCAACTGATAAGAAACTGACCGTTTCCCAACCTGAGCTGTCATATTTCATTTTATTCAAATTTTGATTAATTCTTTGTTGGCTTTTTGTCTTTAAGAAGGATGATTGTGAATAAAATAGTATATAAATAATAAAAACTGTGGTCGAATCCTGTCGGATTCGAAAATGTTGTGTAGAAAGTAGAAATTATAGGGGGCTCGCGGCTTTGMCGCTCGCCCCCGTCTAGAACTCACAATAGCAGGTTTTGTCGACACTTTAGACCTCACACTATCTGATTTGCAAATATTTTGTCAAAATTATCGGGGGCTTCGCCTCCGAGTAGAACTCACACTGTCAGATTTTGTCAAAATCTATAAAGGGGATCGCGGCTTTGCCGCTTGCCCCTCTTTTAGACCTCACACTATCTGATTTGCAAATGTTGTGTTTAAAAAAATCAGATTTTGTCGAAATTGTAATAAATTGAGGATGATTGTGAATAAAATAGTATACAAACATTGGTGGTCGTTGCTTGATAGTGTCTCGGTTTGATAGTAAAAAACGTCCCACCTCGGTATGTAATCTACTATTGTCGATTTGTGAAAATCGAAATTCGAAGCCTGCAAATTAAGGGATTTTATTTTTTGTTCGTATAATTTTGTTTTTACAATTTCTGTTGTTTTGTGTCATTTATCTTAATTAAAACGTCTCAATGTGTTTCTAAAATTGTAATTAAATCTTTGATTTGTTCCTCGCTCTTGTTTTCATAATTTTTTCAATATATGACATAATTCTCTATTAAGTAAGGATTTTTTAAAGCTTGTTTTAATGTAATTTGATTATTTATTTACAAAGCGACCCCAAGGAGATTTAAATTGTTTAGTTGGTAATATTTCCACGTGTAAGAGGAGCAGTTTTTTGATTCTTGTAAATAAAGTAGGAGTTTTGTTCTATTCGTAACTTATCCTTAACCAGAAATAACAATGAGCAAGTCGACTGAGTCACGAGAACATCGGGTGAACGTTCAAGGCTCTCCCAGTGATCGAAGCGAATCACTTGGAAGTCTTCGATCGCGTTCATCAATGGGTTAGTCTAGGTCCAGAACCATTCACTCCTCAAACAATGATTTAATTGATCGGAAAGTCAGGAGACTTGTATTTAATGTCGCCGGATTGGATTAAAATCGGTTTTTCTCCCATTTGGAATGCTGAACGGTTTCAACATAATGCAGAGGTTTTGGTGCCGATCCAAGAGCTGTTTTATTAAAAATAACCCGCTTTGCAAACAATCGGGAGTGGCGGAAATCGCACGCGACTTGCATACCTATTTGACAAACGATTTTCATAATTAAAAAGTTGAGATTTTTGTTCGACGCTGTTTCCAGCCACTTGGAAAGAGATAAGATAACAAACTTGTATTGTGGTTGTTATCGATTCTAGAATCACGTCAGAACTTCTGAATCATTAAAAAAATTATGTCGTATTCAAGAAACGTAAACGGGCGAGAAGTCTTGAATCTTGAATACAATGGAAACACAAACTAGAATTGAAACTAATTTAACTTTTATAATCTCTCAATAATTTTACATAGACCAAGTTGACACTGTTTCGAACATAACTAACATAACATAAATATTCCGAATTCTATGGCTATAATAATTTATGAAAATTAGATACAATGAACTGTTATTACCCGAATTCAGCTCTATTCATGTTTCATCAAATAAAGTAATAAAGCAATTTCATTGAAAAATATCAAAACTAATTGAATTATTATGTTTACAAGCTGATAAGAATGATATCGCCACATAAATAGCTGAAAACAGTCTCGAGAGTTAAATTTTTACTTGTCCACTTGACGCGAATTTTTCAGTTTTGGGTTCACTTGGCTTTTTGCCCAACTATTACGATTTAACATTCCGAAAAACACCGACCAAATATTATCTTTGTTTTGAGTAAAACAATCTTGCGAACTTCTCACCAAAATAAAGTCTGACTTTCCCCAACTTGGTGTATTTTTCTTTCTTAATTCCTTTATTAACAAAATTTACTATATTCTGGGGCCAAAGTTTTTTATTTTTGTTAACGGTATTCTTAAATTTAGAATTTAGAAACAAACTGCAATTTCTATTTCCTTAACGGAGTCGGAAGTACTTCTTTCTGGGAGCGAACCAGACTTGCATTTTAAATTATACCATTTAATAAACGTATGTCTAAACTAAAAAAATTAACTGTTTTTGACCACTCAAGCGTCAAAAGCAGATTTTGCAAAGCAAATAAATGCAATTTTTCTAAAAAAAAAACAACTCGTGAATATTTTTTGATTAGATAACAACTGAAATTTTAATATTTTTTTTAAAATGTACTCGTTACACAAAATATTTATTTGCCTTTTTCATTTTGTTGTTTGTCTCAGTAAGATTGAACCTCGCATTTTTTTTATAGATTAAAATTTTATATTTTGGTCTAAATTGGAGTTTCTTTGAATGTTATCAACGACCTCGACATTTGCATGATGGTAAAAAATAAGTGCAATTACCATATTATAACAAAACCACTTTACTCACTTGAAAAATTGGTCACGACACCATGATCAAATTAGATTTAGATTCTCATTTGCGCTAGGAAACGTCCAGTTGTTGCTCACATTAAAATAAGAATAAATTAAAGTACAAAATGCAAATCAATGAAAAAAAAGAAAAAACGCTTTTATAATTTGTAATAGTTATTTACCTAACGAATTCGGAAAGATAATTCTTACAGGTATAAAGTTTTTGCTAACGAATAACTCAAAATTATTTAAAAAAAGATAATTTAACATTATTTAGTCGTATACTATTTGTGAGTTGGTAGCCAAAATTTGAAACAGTAGCGCCATTTTCTTTTGTAATTTTTCAAGTAGATTTCTGCGAAAATAAGTTCTGACGAAGTTTTGACGCCGCTAGAAATTTAAAAATCAGCAACCAACGCAAAACTTGGCTTGCTGCCTCAAAAAAAGCCAACAAGGAATTGAAAAACCGTACCAAAATGCCAACCGTACAACGCGATTTCCCCTAGTTCTTGTTGCAAAGTAAAAAACAGCTGTGCGGAAAAAACGTTTTTCCAAGCGTCGTGAATAAACAGAAAAATTATGTTTCCAAGCAATGAGTACAAAAAAACTTTTTCAAGGTATAAAATATTTTGATTTTACTGCATAACTTATTAGTAATTACTTACATGCGCGAAATAGTATATTACATAACGAGCACGGAAAGTGATAAATAACGCACAAGCGGGAAAGTTAGGCGTTAGCCGAGTGCAGGCAATACCGCGAGTGCGTTAGACACTTTCCTGCAAGTTTTGTAGATTATTTTTCCATAAATTTTTACTACTATTTTCCATAAATAATTTTTTTCTTACCAACATATTTTTTTTTCATAACGATTTATTTTTTAAAATGGATACAAAAAAAATACGTTGGATGAAAATATACAAAACATTCGAATGTGAATTGTGCGTTAGATTTCTAACACACAGTGCGAAAACAAATCGCACAGGTTTTTGACCTCGTACGATATTGCCAATTATCGCGAATATGTAATTGTGCGTTATGATCTAGTTTCGTATATGGTCGTAGGAAAAAAACGTTCAAATATTTTGTGAAATAATAAAAAGTTTCTATGGAACATAAAGGGTTTTTTTTTTGTTTTTCATAGTCTACGCAATTCGTGACTTTGGTTGTTGCACGATTCAATACAATCCTCAGTAAAATCTCGTTTTTTCTCGAAAATGAAGCATCGAAGAGAGATAATACAAGATATTTTTTAAGTAAATTAATCAATAAATCGGAATCCGCTAGAAATTTTTCAAAAAACCTCTTCCAAATAAAATTTTACGCCTTAAACCGGTTGACCATTGACCACCTTTCTAATTAAGGTACACAGTTTACCCCAAAAGCCAATTTTTATAAATCTATCTCGAACTGTTTACTGAGATAATTGAAAAAAAAAATACCTTTTGCTTGCCAAATTAGACGATACTTGATGGTAATTATTTATTATTATTAGCGTTTCTGGTTTTTGCCATCGGAATTATTTAGTTTTGGTTTTCTACATAAAATATTGTTGTAAAAAGATTATTATTGCGCCCCATTTCGATGAAAACATCAAAACTTCGATTTTCCTTCGAGCATTGTATTCAGTCATCAACCCCGCCCTAGTCACGCCACTGCAACCACATGCACCACCCAGGCATGTGTCTGGTAATCAATTTTTAAACCCCCGTCAAAACCGAGCCCATTTTTTGGCCCACTCCCCGGAGTTCGACAACGTGAATTTAATAATGTTGCTGCATGGCTCGTAAAAATGTGACATGTAGACGATCAATAAGACCATCGAAACGAAGGACAAGTGAATTGTATCTGGGATGTTTGGCGCCGTTTTCAGTTGATATATACGTCGACGATGGGGATATGAATGCGTTAAAGGGGTTGACTCGGCGGATTAATCAACTTGTATTCTTGAGAGTGTAGAGAGTTTTATGATGTGTCGCAATTTAACGTTTACGAGGATATAATCAAGGGTGGGGTTGATTAATGGGGCTTTTCTTCTTACAGTTACCGTATTGAACCAAGCCGGCGAACCTATCAAGAGGACCATACATTTTACTGTCAAGAAGAGTCTGCAATTGAAATGTGAATCAGATGAGATTGGAAATATCACATGGTGAGTATCATTATCATAGGAGAAAAACCTCACATTGGATGATTTTTGCAAGCGGAAAAACATGGAAAAAATTCACGATTTTATGTAGAAATTTGCTGAGTAATAAATTTCGTATTTTGAGTAGGACTATTAATTTATGTTTCATAAAAACATTCATGTTTCATTTGTCTTTCCATTTTTAGTTTCTTTTTATCATTATCTTTTTTTGGCTTGTATGAATTTCGTATTTTTTTATTGGGACAAATAAATTTATTTTTTCGAAATCGTCTCTAAAGTTATATAAAATTGTCAGTAAAGGGTTTAAAATCGGCACTAGTTTTTCATTATTATTCAGTTTTGTGTTTTTTATTTAGTTATTAAAAAAAAAAGAACTATTTGATAAATAATAAAGTACTATAATCAGGTGACCTTTCTTAAGAATAAAAATTTTTCAATTTTTGTTGTTTTTGAGTTCTGTCTTTTTTTTTTTTTCATTTTTTATCTATTATAGAGCCTTTTCTTTACAAAGATTATGAGCTAAGGATACATACAGGAAATTTTTTGTTCTTTGTCTAGTCTTTATGTAAATTTTATTCAATTTTTCTAGAAAAAGTCATTCACAAACAGGATCACATTTTTCATAGCACTTTAATTTTTGTTAATTATTTTTTGAAGGCAAATGATTAAAAAAAACACGCTTGGTTCCATACAACATACTCGTACATAAAAAAATGTGTAAAAATATACAGGATGAAACGTAATTATTTATCATCTGAGAACCTTTCATTATAGAAACAGTTTATGTTTTATTCTAAAAAGGTAGAACATGGGCAGAAAAAAATTAGTTGAATAATAATAAGTGTCGTTTTTTTACGTTGGTACTTTTTATGTAATTAACTCTACATATTAGAAAAATATATACAGGGTGTGTCAGAACTCGCGCCCCAGAGAAAAATTTCGTGTAAGATACATGGAAAAAAATGTTTAAAAAATTCTATCTGTCAAAAGAATAAAATTTTTTCAATTTTTGTTGTTTTTGAGTTTTGTCTTTTTTTTCTTCATTTTTTATCTATTATAAAACCTTTTCTTTACAAAGATTATGATCTAAGGATACATACAGGAAATTTTTTGTTCTTTGTCTAGTCTTTATGTAAATTTTATTCAATTTTTATAGAAAAAGTCATTCACAAACAGGATCACATTTTTCATACACTTTAATTTTTGTTAATTATTTTTTGAAGGCAAATGATTTAAAAAAAACACGCTTGGTTCCATACAACATACTCGTACATAAAAAAATGTGTAAAAATATACAGGATGAAACGTAATTATTTATCATCTGAGAAACCTTTCATTTCTTGTACATTATAGAAACAGTTTATGTTTTATTCTAAAAAGGTAGAACATGGACAGAAAAAAAATTAGTTGAATAATAATAAGTGTCGTTTTTTATGTTGGTACTTTTTATGTAATTAACTCTACATATTAGAAAAATATATACTGATGTGTCAGAACTCGCGCCCCAGAGAAAAATTTCGGGTAAGATAAGATACCAGGAACATGGAAAAAATGTTTAAGAAATTCTATCTGTCAAAAATTTATGACATTTGACATTTTTTATATGTATTTAATGATACTGGTGATCTTGTATTATATGTTTTTTTTTTTATAATAATTTAGTAAAGGCACAAAATTTTTGTCAATAAAAGCCACAAATAACATGAAACAATTTAGGACACAGCTTTCTTGTAGCCTGTAGCAAAAAACTTGAAAAGTTTTCTGACAGAAATAAATAGAGTCAAAGTGCAAAATTTAAATTCTCATAACTTCTAAATTTTTATAGATAGAATTATTACCATTTTTTTATGTTCCTGGTATCTTACCTTACATGACATTTTTCTCTGGGGCGCGAGTTTTGGCGCACTCTGTATTTTGAAATCTACCATTCTTTTACTTTGAATAAATTGATATTCATAATATTGACAATTTGTTTGCTATTTGTTTGACTTTTTATTTTACTACTAACCTAAATGGAACGTTTTTATAAGCCTTATTAATAATGAACTTAATGACTCGTTAAACAAACCATCAAGTTCACTAACCCATTAAAGACGTTAATGTTCATAAAGGAAATTATTTTCTTTCTTAAAATTGTATTGGCAGTTTCAGAAAACCTGAAAAAATCATTTGACTGTGATTTTCCACATGTGGAAAACGCAGAAACTAAACATAAATAAAAAAAATTGTTCTTACACAATCTTTGTTTAGTCTTTACATCAACTGATGAAAGATGTTCTAAATCAAAAAGTTAATAAAGATTTGTTTACACAATGAGACTTCACATTATCTATTTAATTTTTCAATATGCAAGTCAACTACATTGTTATTTTATCTTAAAGACATTTGATAAAGAAATCAAATAAACAAGATAACAATTGACCCGATAGTAATTTTCCGAAAATGATTGTCATGTCGTAAAAAATCGCAAGGTTAGGTAAAGATAAAATTTATTTTTTTAAATTAAATATAGACATACATTTTATTTTAAACCAAGGCCAAATTTTATGTTTTAGTTAATTTAAAATTAAAAGTTACAATTTTTTTCAAAAATGCCAAATTTAAGGAACAGGTGTTGGCATTTCCAAGTAATAAAAACTCGGAAACAATAAAATCTGCCGCAAGGCCGGCCTTACACAAAATCTTAAACCTCTCGAATTTTTTCCAATGTTTATTTTTGCCGAGAGGTTTCAGCAGCAGTAGCAGCGACGCACACCTAGTTGATTTTCTAAAAATAAGCTCAGAAACGGTAAAACTTGACCCGTTTTTTTCGCACACACAGGGAGAAAGGCGGTAAATCCGTCGAGAAGCTGGACGAGTTGAAAGGCCGCTACGAATTAAAAGATAATAAGACGATCCTCATTTTCAAAAATTTGAAGGATTCCGACGTGGGAAATTACACTTGTGCCGTAAACAACAATGGCAACAAAATCGCCCATTACACCGTCTCCCTGCACACGGCCACCAGCTCCAAATGGGGTGTGAGAGTCAGCAAGAACAGCAACGTCGTCGAGGGCGAGAAGTTGACCATCAAGTGCGAAATCAGGGGCGATCTCACGCTGAACTGGCTGTATAGTAAGTGCAATTTTTCATGCAAAAACTGAAAAATTCTTCAGGAAAAAAAATGGTACTTTTTCAGTAGTTTCCCTAGATAATGTTCTGGCGAGTTTATTACGCATTCTTTTTATGTCCTGACAAAATTAAATCAAATAAGCGAGAAAATTAATGAAAAGTTTCAATTAGTTCAAAAATAGTTGTAATAAAGTACGAAATTTCTAAGATTTCCAAACTGTTGTAAAATTGGGTGAAAGAGCGTTTCTCAAACTGTTTAGCAAACATACCTACAAAAATATAAAGGGAAAAATGTCAGTTACATTGGAGACAAAGAATGGGATAGTTTTTTTACTTTCCTTATGTAATAAGATTTTTACATTTCTGGACGCATTATAGTTTCAAGACACCAAAAAAAATTACTTGTAGCAAGGGGACGTAGCACGAAACAATTGGTAAAAATCGGTCGCACCGTTTGGCCGCAAAGACCAAAAATCAAAATTATACGGTTGAAGATACTATAAATAAATTCATGGGGATAAAAATTATTTAGAATCATAAAATATACCTTATTAAACAGTAAAATGTGATAAAAAAAAATAAAATGGGTACCGAACTAAAAAAAATTGCACCCCAGACTCGAACCCACGGCAACTATGATCTATTTCGTGTGTAATCCGGCAGGTGGTACTAATGCAAACGTTAGGTTTGCTACTCTAAAAGGATGTTTTCCAAATAAGTTGGATAAGGAAAGTCGTGTGATGTTCACACCAGATTTTTCAAATAATTTATTACTTCTATTTTTTGTAAATAAATAATGTTTTGGAAATTCTTGTTTCATTTACGAACTGGTTGAAAGTTTTTGGTAAGCTGGCAGAAAGTGATTCGTGCCGTTTCAAAATAGTTGCATCTCACTTAATTAATGTGTTTGACAGAGATAACACTTAGGGGATGAAACGTCATTGTTTCTATTTCATTCTTGGTCTAGGTAGCGAGAGAAATAAGTAATACCTATTTACAACAGTTTGGAAATTTTAGACACTATAGTAGATTACATACCGAGGTGAGAAGTGCTTCATTATCAAGGTTAACAATAAGCCGAGGTACGATGAAGGTACGATCACCAAGGTTTGTATACTATTTTATTCACAATCATCCTTCTTAAAGAACACAAATCCAATAAAAAAAGTATTTATAAAATTGTGAAAAACTTGACATTGATTGACGTTCAGGTTAGGAAGTGGTTACTTCCTTATCAGTTTTCGGCTTGGAAAGTGACCATTTCCCAACCTGAACTGTGTATTTTATATCAATTGTTAAATGAAGTGGAAATATCATACTTTCCAACTTTTCACAATCAAGGTAATTTGTGAATAAAAAAACATAGAAATTGAAATTGCAATGTGTGACCTATTTTTTTAATTGTTTTATAATTTGTCAATGACTACCTCTCATGTTTATTTACTATTATCACAAACATTTTGCATTTTTCTCATATTCGTCTTACCTTTTTTGAGGTAGGAGAAGAAAAATTCCTCAAGGATTTTTCTTCTCAAGTCAGTTTGACGTAATAATTCTTTCTCTACCCGGTGTTATCCACCAAATCAACAACAATAAATATAAAAATTTTATTTAATAAAGAAAACAGCTTAGGAACTTTTAGCTGAAATTTTCTGTATATAATTTGTGTCAAATTTTTTAAAATCTGAATGTTTCAACATTTAACTCTTCTTTGTGGGAAAATATTTGTATTTTGAATAAAAAATAGTCATTTCCACTGACCTTGTGGAAACACATCGCGTCGTGTCGATCGTGATCCATAATTCTGTCATTTGTAAACGTTTAATTACTTTCAAGGTACTTATTTAATAGTATATTATATCATGATGTAGAGAAGACATTTTTATAACCGAGCTGTTTAAATTCCAAAATGCGTAGCATCGATGGAAATAATAAATTCGAGGCTATACAGAGTGTCTCAGCGAGTTGAAAAAGTCCATTAGTGGCTTTTAAATGGTAAAATTGGTAAAATTAAAAAAAAATTGTATAGGACATTGATAGATACTAATTTAGTGCATCACCTAAAATTATTTGCAACCATACAGCATGTCCCAAAAATAAGTTACATTACAAACTTGTTTTTTTTTTTTAATGAAACATATGTTTCTTGGCATTTTTGGATTTTTTAAAACAATGTTTTTACGCTAAACTTTTATTAGTTGATTTTGCTTAGTTTTAGAAATAAGACGTTTTTTGACGAAAACATGCATTTTTAAAATATTCATTATACAAAAACTAAGACAGCTAGAACAATTTTTTTCTTACTTCTGCAATGAAGAAAGTACAGGATTTAAAGCTGTAGCAATTTTCTTGTGTTTTGCATTTGTAAAGATTAATAAGTTAAGTTAAAAAAAACGTCTTATTTTTAAAACTAAGGATAATCGACCAATAAAAGTTTAGCTTAAAAACATTGTCATAAAAATCTACATCCAAAAACGATAAGAAACATATGGTGGTTCATTTAAAAAAACACAAGCTTGTATTGTAACTTTTTTTGAGACACGCTGTATAGTTGAAAATAATTTTAGGCGATGGACTAGATTAATATCTATTAATGTCCTATATAATTTTTTAAAATGTTACCATTTAAAGGTCATAATGGACTATTTCAAGACACATGTATAGTAAATGTCATTTTTGTACTTCTGCATCAATTAAAATAATTTTCGAATTTGATTGACAGAAAAATTGAAGGTAGGATTATTCTGATGTTTTTTAATGAAGTCTTTTCATTTGATTTTGCATTAGTTTCATTTCAAAATAAATACTTCCATTAATACCTACTTGTGATTATAATAGTTTCAAATATACTGCTCCACTAAAGTTAAGGAAGTGTGCAGTAATTATATTAATTAATTAAATTAATGAATTATTAAAAAAATTAATAATAAATTAAAAGTGAGATAAAGGCAGATGTGTTTTTACTTTTTTGTTTTTGCTGGATTCCACAATGCTTAGAAGAATAAAATTTGTTTGTTGTAAAAATAATGCGACTTCCTTAACTTTTCTGGAGCAGTTTAATAATATTATAGACATATTTGTATCAATGGAATACCCACCATTATCGGTATTTACCCACCTCTAATCCATTATTGCCCTTGGTCTATAATGAAAAAGATTATTGACCACTAGTAGAGACAAACAACATCACAACGTCTCGAAAAATTAAATTCTAGTAATAAAAAACTTTTTTTTTTAATTTTTGTTTGTTTTCAATTGGAGTGAAACAATTTTTTTTTCAGAGAACACCACCAGTGGTGATAACTACACCACGATACCGGACGAGAAAGGACGAGTCAAGTTGAAGGATTATTACGACGAGGAAAGGAAGGTAAACGTGACTGGTGGTCTCTTAATAATCGAAGAAGTTGATATGGGTGACAGAGGTGAATACATCTGTATAGGAAAATCGGCCGATGGTCAACAGTACAACATGACGAGTACAGTCCGCATCAAAGGTGATTGTATTTTGTTGAGAGTATGGAAAATGAGGTGTTTTTGTAGATAAATATGCGGCGTTGTGGCCATTTTTGGGTATCTGTGCCGAAGTGTTCGTCCTTTGTGCCATTATATTTATATACGAAAAGAAACGTAACAAAACGGAATTGGAGGAGAGCGACACCGATCAGAGTCCCGAACAGTGAGTGATTTGGTTGGAAGTTAGCAAAAAGTGAGGTTTTTTTGCAGGAAAAACACCCCCGACCACGGTAAAGAGACGAATTTGAGGCACCGACAGTGAATCCATCTTGTTACCATTACCACACACCTAAAAATAAAACCAAGTTTAGAAGTTCAAGTTATAGTTACATTCGTCATGTGTATTATTGAAGACTATTTAACTAACAAGTTGTCCGAGATCGCACTGTACAAAGTAACGTTTAAGGTTATTGTTGAAGCCTTCGTTTTCTCGGACGGGTGTTGCTTTGAGTACAGTCTTTTTTAATTGTTGATTTTTCCGCGATACGGTTCCGTTCAGGTACTTACCTTTTCCAATTTCTAGTACTTAATTGTAGATATTGTAAAATTGTTATGACGCAATCGAAAGAGGCTGTAATCCAACCGCAAAACCATCATCCCATTGTACATAAATAAATTAAGAAAAATTGTATCCTGTTTATATGTATTGTTAAATGAAATTGTGTTTAAACCTATGGACTGTTGTTTTTTCTTTACGTTTTCTTGTGATACTTTCAAGTAAAGTGCTTAATGATCCAAAGACCGTCGTCTTGTTATATTTCTTCAAATTTTAATTTGGCGAGAATTGTAGTTATTAAAATTAAAGAGTATCAATGTGGTCTTCATGTCATCGGTACTAATAGATTCGAGTAGGCTGCTTGGATTTTTCACCGCTCAGTGCTAATAGTGGAAGAAATTTTATTTCGACCAAAAGTGGCACCGCACCTGTCCCGCGGTCGCCATTCTCGATGTGAACCATTTTAACTCTTCTCTAGTTGACTTATTAATAAATTTTAAGCATAAACTATATTAGAATATAAAAAGTATGATGACTTAAAAATAACACAGAGCAGATTTATTTTTTACTTATTCTAAAGTTATATTTAAGTCATTGGTTAGGTTTTAGGCGTATTTCCATTCATCTGAGGTGAAGTTCGAACCGCCACTCCTTCATTTACTCAACTCGATTTAGTCTCTGCCCATAGCAACGACGGCACTTCGAATTCCACCTCACCGTAAAAGCAAAACATAAATCAACTAGCATTCGCAATTAGAGTAAAATATTGGTGCTTGCACAAACAAACATCGTTCAATTTAGGCTGCTGCTGATTTTTCTTCGACTATGTAACTTGTATAATCATTTCATCCCATCTCTTGTTTTGTTTTAATGTAACAGTCTATCATTCTTCCCTATTTTTACTTATGACATACCATTTTAAAAAAAGGTATTCACAGATTATTATGTTGAAATAAACTTTAAATAAAATTTTATTCGTTTTATGGCTTTTGTTACCCAAACCACCAACCTCGAATAAAAGTTTAATACACAAAACAACAATTTACAATGAAAAACAGCTCATAAAACCAAAAATAACAAAAAGGCAATATAAAAACTATGCGAACTTTAGCCTGTAGGCGGCCACTCCTACCAACCCTATCGCGAAACTTGCTGCCAGCGTCGCACTCCAAACCAGCATCTGAAACACAAAAACAATGTCGAATTAAATGCACGGTATTGTATTTTTGTCCAATCAAAACAGTAAATGTTCAGTAAAAGTAATGCACGTACTAATAATAGTAATAGTAAAAATATAAAATACACAGTAAAAACAATGAATGTCGTCCAGTAAAGACAGTTGTTTTTTCCTGGAAAATTGGAAGTAGAAAATGGAAAAAGTGCAGTTAAGTGAAGTGAAATCTCGACAAAAATAAAAAAAAAATCACTTTAAAATTGATCCATATAACGTTTTTCACATTTCTAGAAGTGTTAAAGACTCAAAAATGTGCATAAAACGTTATTGGGTCAAGTTTAAAAAAATTACGAATTTTTTGAGTTTTTGAAGGTAGTAAAATCGTAAAAATAGTCAATTTACCTTAAAACGTTTGAAATATGATTTTTTTGACGGAAAATTACGCGCTGAACACGATGCAACAAGTTAAAATACTCTACGATGCATAGTTTTTGAGATATTGAGTAATAAAGTTAAGAATAAGGCTAAAAGCATAAGCAAAAAATCAACATTTTTTTATTATGAAAAATCAGTACTATATGTAAAATTAACCGGAGAACACGCCTGTACATACCGTTTTGTTTTTGAGATATGATTTTTTTTTTGAAAAAAACTAAAAATGGCTCTGTACCCGGAACCAAAACTCGGAGGACTTCCGGTTTGCGAAAGTAAATAGATAATTTCAAGCTAATTTTAATGGTTTTGAGCTTTTTGCTCTAAGCCCTATAGTTTCGTAGAAAAACGCGTTTAAAGTTTCACAATTTTGACAATTTTCACTTTTTGAACGGCGATTACGGCCAAACTATTAGACTTAGAGCAAAAAGCTCAACACCATCGTAATAAGCATAAGAAAATCTATCGACTGAGGCCAAAGCCAAGTCGACATCTCGCAAAAAAAATTTGAATTTTTAAACGCCGATTACGGCGAAACTAAAGGAGATAGCGCAAAGTGCTTGGAAAATTCGTAATCAGCACGTCAAAATCTATCGGATAAGATAGGTTTAAATTGAATCTGAGACATGTTCAAAAACACTAGTTTTTAAGGAGGGGTGTTAACAATTTTTTCGTTTTTTTTATTTTGTACATTGCGGCAAAACTGTGTCTCAATGATATAATATTTTCATGTGAACCTATGTAAAATGTTCCGGGGAATCGATTGGCGTCAAGAAAACTGTAAAATTCGTAGTAGTTTTGAAGTTATAGTCGGATTTAAATTCTCGATATTTTTGACTTTATCAGAAAATTTCTCGATAACTATTCATCGTAGAGCACTGAAATTTTTAATATATGATAGAAAATTCAATTTTCTATTCAACGGTACCAAATATAAGAGGTTATCTCTAATAAGTCCGGAGTTATTGCCATTAGACCGCTCCGGGTGCCAAAAATCGACCAAAATCTTGACAAAAATTTAAAAAAAAAACTTTAAAATTGATTCATTTTACGTTTTTTACATTTCTAGAGGTGTTAAGGACTCAAATAAGTGCATATAACGACATTGGGTCAAGTTTCAAAAATTTTGAATTTTTTGAGTTTTTGAAGGTGAGCGGTAGTAAAATCGTAAAAATAATCAATTTACCTTAAGTCGTAAAAACGGTTGAAATATGGTTTTCTAGACGTAAAATGACTCGCTGAACAAGATGCAACTAGTTAAAATACTCTACGATGCATAGTTTTTGAGATATTGAGTAATAAAGTTAAGGCTAGAAGCCGTTTTTCAAGTTTTTTGAATTGATTACTAGCTCAAAAAAAAAACATAAACCGCCTCTTGCAACACTTTTAACTCACGTTATGCTTGGAGTCTTTGGCCTTCTCCTCTTTCGCCGGTTTCTTATCCCCGAACATCCTCTTCGCCAACTCCCTCTCAGTCACTTTCTGCTTCTGAATCAGTTTCGAAATCAGCGCCAATTCCTTCTGAACATCTGGATTATTCGGCGAGACTTCATCAGCTTTTTTGAGACACTTCTGTGCAGCGACCAAATCATTTTTCGCTTTGTGCACTTTGGCTTTCCTAAACAAGGCTTTGACATTATTTGGCTGACATCTTAAGACAGTTTGGAGGGAATTGAGGGCGGCGTCGTACAACTCCAACTTGATTTGGGCCGCCGCCATATTGTTGCAAACACTGATGCGGTCCTCGAGAAGCTCCTGGAGGGTGGAGTCTGCGACTTCTTCGGTTTTGTTGAGGGCATCCAAGCCCCCCTCGACCTCGTCCAAGTAGTCCAAAGCCCGGCGGTAGCACTGGATGGCGAGGGTGTTCTCCCCCCGGCCGTACCACCAGTTGCCCCTCTCGCGCTTCTTGTTCCTACAACCACATTTTTATTCAAAGTCTTGCAACAATTAAATACAAACCCTTGCAACTTTCTCTCCAAAACCGAGAGTGTTTCTGGATCATCCTCGGGCCCCACAGCCACCAACTCGATGTCGTAGACCACGGTGGAATTCGGGGGGATCTTCCCCGACAGCCCCACACTGCTGAACGCCAACCGGGGCTCGATTTTCAACGAGCATTTCTCCCCCACATTCATGAGTCCGATGGCCACATCAAGGCCTTGAACCACGTCGCAGTCCCCCAACTGAATCTCCTCGTTTTCTTTCCTCTCGATGAAAGTCCCATCTGCGAGACTCAACTCGTAGTTGATTGTGCATTTCTCGAGTCTCTGGGGGCGGGTGTTGGGCTGGCCCTCCTTCAAGGTTTTCTTCATTAAGCTTCCACTCCCGAGCAAGTCCTGCCATTCGGGCTCCGTGTCCGATTTTTCCGGCGGAGGCGAGGCGAAGTCGTCGCTGAAGTCGCTTTTTGACGATTTTTCCTCGGGTTGGGGCTCAAGGGAGGCTCTGTCTGTGGCTGTTTCTGCCTTGTCGATGGCCATTTTCGGCGCTTGGGGGGTTCGGAGACTCAATTTCAAACTGTGGAAAGGGCCACGGGGGAATTTTGTTGAACGGATTTGCTGGAATTACGAATTCACTTCGAGGATGTTCCTAACCTACAAATCAGTTTGACATTTTTTCAAAAACAAAGAGGGGGGTCGTGGCTCACGTTACGTCAGAAGGAAAAATTGAGTGGCTAAAGGCACACATTTTTTATTTTCAAAAAATTAATTTAAAAATGGAGAGTAAAATTATGCAGTATTTGCAATTAATTAATGTTACAAGGAACATTCCACGTTAAATCTATTCTGTGTTACATACCAAATTTTATCTATGTACATCCGGCTTTGACTTTTATTTTTTATGTTACACAAAAAAAAACAAATATATTTTATTTAAAACTTATTAAAAAACTGTTCATTTCACTACCTCGTTAAAATTTTCTCATAGATTTCATAATTCGAAATAATTTTTTCTACAAGTCTTTAACTTGATAACATGTTTTACTATCAAATATTATTTAATATAATAGATAACGAAACTACAGCTATTTATCATTTTCCTTATCATTTTTTTAACATATTAATTAAATCATATTTGTCTTTGATGACGCATACAATTGCGGACACGAAATTTTGGACGATCTGTCATTCGACTGACATAAATAATAATATGTAATATGCACTTTAGGCAACTAACCTCATTTTCGGTTCGTTAATTTTTATCCTGACAGCTAGAGAAAACATATCTGAAATAATGAAAGTACTTAAGCTTGAATAAAGAATGATAAATTTTATTATTAATTCTACCTAATGTACTACACTTTTTTACACGACATTAAAAGTGTTATGCAAGGCCTAAAGACCTCGAACTACCAAATCAGCTTATTTTTTGTATTTTTTTCTAATTAGTATATTGTAAATATTTATCCACAATCGTAAAATAATAATCAAATTAGGACCTTGCACGTGGAAAGTTGGAAAGTGTGACATTTCAACTTCAATTAACAATTGATACGAAATATAAATAAGTTCAGGTTGGGAATTAGTCACTTCCTTATCAGTTGAATGTAACATGACAGTTTAGGTTGGGAAATGGTCACTTCCTAACCCAAAAACTGATAAGGAAGTGACCACTTCCCAACCTGTACTGTCATATGTCATGTTTTTCAAAATTTGATAAAGTTTTTATTGGCATTTTCAAGCAGGATGATTGTGAATGAAATAGTATACAAACCTTGGTGGTCGTACCTCGGCTTATTCACCTTGGTAATGACGCCCCTTTCATCTCGATACGCTATCTACTATTGATATTTATAAAACACCACAATATTAAGTAAAAAAGGAAAAAAAAGAGAAAAGAAGTGATAATTTCAAATTTGCGCGATTGATTATTGCCATAGCAACCATCAGGATCAATCACAACAAACAGAAATGGAGAATTACAAACTCTTGGGTAAAGTGGGTAAAGGGGCTCACGGGTTAGTTTTCAAAGCCTTAGATTTACAAAACAACAAAACAGTGGCCTTGAAACAAATAGCTATAGTTAACGTTACAAATGGAATACCCAAGAATACCATGCGTGAGATTTGCGTCCTGCGAGCGCTTCAATCAAATCACGTAAGTGAGCTTTACTAAAACCCAAATAATTTTTGTTATTGTAGATTGTTAAACTGGTAGACATATTCAATGTGGAAAGTGCTATTGTTATAGCAATGGAGTACTTGCAGCGGAGTTTATCTGACGTTTTGAAAGACATAGAACGGCCCTTATCCCTCCCACAGATCAAAATGTACACAAAAATGATCCTACTGGGGGTGGACACCATGCATTCGAACAGAATCATGCATCGGGTAATCGATTTTGGGCGAGTTTTGTGAAATAATTTCGTTATTTCAGGATTTAAAGCCTGCCAATTTGCTCATCGACGACAAGGGCGTGTTGAAAATAGCCGATTTTGGCTTGTCTCGAATTTACAACAAAAACAAAGATCGTCTGTACACGCACCAAGTGGGTACGCGGTGGTACCGAGCCCCTGAGCTTTTATACGGGTCACAAAAATACACCCCAGCTGTGGATATTTGGGCCATTGGCTGCATTTTAGCCGAAATGATCAACAAACAGCCTCTATTTCCCGTAATTTTTGACAATTTCGTAAACATTTAATGACTTTGAATTCAAGGGGGAAACCGATATAGCCCAACTTGCTATAGTCATTGCAACTTTGGGCACCCCAAATGAGGAAATTTGGCCCGGATTAACGTCCCTTCCCGACTATAACAAAATCGCTTTTACTCACAGCGAGGGTCAGTCGTGGAATTCGAAATTTCCCGATTGTGACGAAGCGACTGTTGATTTGATTCAGCAGTTTTTGCAGTACGACCAAAGTAAACGAATCGATGCAAAAAAAGTTTGTATTTTACTTAATTAGGATGCAAGAAATGGGTGTTTTTACTTGTCTTGCAGGCTTTAAACCATAGATTTTTCTTTGAAAAGCCGCTCCCGTGTTGCTTGGATGAAATGCCGAAACCTAATCAAGTCAAGACTGACGGTTCTTGGCTTGCGAAAGATTTTGATGATATTGTAAACATAAATAAAGTTACTCACGTCTGACGCATTTTTTTAAACATGACCGAAGTGTATAATTGGTTGCATACATTGTAGTTTATCAAGAGTGCGAAATTAATTGACTAATTATTTTTTTAAACACATTTTAATTACTATTTTCTTCAAATTAAATAATTTGTTGTAAAATACTTTTAAATTACTTTATTTTATAACTGTTTTTGGTTTCATTTCTGGTAAGAAACTACGATAAGGGTGGTGTCACTGTTTGTAGTCACGTGACTTTTTTTCGTTAATTTAAAGTCATGTCATTCCAAAACAGTGCAATTCAGCTTGAAAAAATCAAATATTTGGCTTTACTTCATCACATTAAGATATTAAAAAAACACTTAGAGCAGCTGCGTACCCTTTTGCAGCTGCGTACACTTCTCCGAAATTATTTAGATTTGTTGAGGTTACTCTTGCAATAATGGAAGGTGAGTACCCCATTTCGATATAATTTCGTTTTAACTTGTGTTAACCGATTCAGATGCTTTGGATTCAGATGGAACATCAAATTCATCGATTACGGATGAAGGTAAGTCACTTTTTTTTACTAATTCTTATAAAAAACGTTTCGATTCAGAGGACGTTTCACCAGGATTGACTCAACCAATACTCAACTCTCGACATTTTATAACTCCCGGTGTTTCAAAATTGATTTTTGACGCTATCAAAAAGAAATCGATCCCACTTCAAGAACGCCTTTGTGTCCTTTTATTTAACGAAATCGATTTGGCCCTCCATTTGGATTATTTAACTAAAGAGGACTACATTATCGGTTTTGAAGACACCGGTTGGTCTCGCAACAAAAACGTTGCCGATACCGCCCTTGTATTCATGCTGCGTAGCATTTACGGCAACTGGAAACAACCAGTAGCCTTCGCGTTCCATGACAGCCCCTTAAACCAAAAAACACTTGTGAGATTTATCAAGACAATAGCTAAAGAAACGAAAAATGCTGGTTTGAATTTAATCGCGATGATTTGTACTCATGCCGATCATAATGTTGAAACTGTGGATATGCTCCTTGAAGAGTCCAAATCCGTGGTTTTGGAAGGTCAAGAAGTGGTACCGATTTTCGACCCCAGTTCTCTATTGCTGAGTACCAGGAACGCCCTCAGTGAAGCCCCTCTGACATTTAAAAAAGACGGCGTTTTGAAAACCGCCAAGTGGGAACACTTGGTAAAAGCCCACGAGATTGACCGCGAACTGAGTAATTGTCTTACGAAAATCACCAAAAGTCACCTGGCCCCCGATTCTTTGAGTTTCACAAAATGCATTCAGACGTTGAGTGGGACTTTCGCCGGGTTTTTGAGCACAGTTGCGGGGAAAACCGGCGCAACTCTTCCTCCAGCTGCCACCGAAACCGCCGAACTGCTTTTCTTCCTAGACCGGGTTTTCGATAGCTTAAACGGCACAATGGCGGAAAATGCCGAGAAGCCGCTCCGGGGGCCGATTCGGGCCACCTCGCCCCATTCGAAAATCTGGTCGGAAGCAAAGGAGACGTTCAAGGATATGGATGGTAAAGGTGGCAGTTGGTTTGGGAAGTGGTTGCGTACTTTGGACGCTTTCGAGGCGATTAAAAGTAAAATGCTTGCGTTGGGGTACGAGGCGTTTCCTGCAAGGTCTTTCCATTTGGAGCCTTTGCAAAACTGCTTTGATCTGATCAACGAACAAGCTGGAAATACGCCAATGGAAAATCGTCTGACTTGCAAAAAATTCAGTATTTTCTATAATCGGGCTTTGAAGGCGAAGGACATGGCTGCTTGCCGTGCAACTGAACCGATTTGTGAACCAGATGGTTTGAAGTTTTTAGTCACCATTGAAGATTTAAGTTAGTTTGTATAATTAATATTGTTCACTTTAGCGTTTTGTATTTTCTACCAAAATAATATTAAGCAATACTTTGTGTTGTTTGTTGTTTTTCTATGCAATTTTAATGAATCGAATAGAAAACATGGTTTGACCTTACTCAACGTCGAAAACAGTAATAAACTATGACGTTCGCCATAATTATTTCTATTAAGCAACTTTTTATACCAAATTGACAATAAACAACATAATCCAAATGCTTTTATCTTAACAGATGGCTATTCATAATGCTTAAAACATGTGTCATTCTTTTAGTTCTTTGTCAGGGGCATTGCTTATTAAATATGTCGCGCAAGTGTGAAATATCGAACGAGAATTTTTGGCATATCATGCGAAAACACTTCAGTTTGGTCAGTTTTATGACAATTACCATTTTACACAATGAAGAGAACCTTTCAGAGGTCAATGAAATAACAGAAGAGTTCTTAAACCTGCTATTTGGGAATTACTTTAAGACAGATTTGTATCAAACTGTGAGAATTGAGGAAAAAATCAGAAAGAAAATGACCAGAAAGAAAGCATCTTACGAAAATGACCCGGATCTACCATTAGAAGAAAATTTTCGTTTGTCCAGTGATCAAAACTGGATTAGCCTGAAATTACGTACAAGTGACTCTCTGGAAGGCTTTATTGTGATTGTGTGGGATCCAGAAACCTTGGAAGATTATCTGGATCAAAATCTCACATTGGTAGTACCGAGAGCAAGAGCTACATATTTACTACTATTTTTGTTTTATAAAAATTGTAAATTGGTCAAAACGCACCTCAACTACATCCTGAAACGGTTTTGGACCGACTTTAAAGTTTTAAACATTATTGCACAAACACCTTGCAGTTGCAACAAAGTTTACATTTATCGCCCTTTTACCAAAACTAGAGATTCTTGGGGAGTGACACAGAGTTATACCTTGACGGAAGTTACTAAAAATTTGGGACTTATAACAAACCCCTTATTTAATCTAAATCGGTTTCCTCTTCGAATCTCCCTGTTCGAGAAAACCCCAACTGCCATCAGGAAATTACCAAAACCGTTACAAAACAACCCAGTTTACCGCAATACCACTCTATCGAAGGGTTTTGCCGGCAGTGATGGTTTTCTCCTGTCTGCTTTAGTCGAGTATTTGAATTTCGAGCCTTTAATTGATGAGAATTTGGAACCAATGAGCTTCGGACACGTGCTACCCAACGGTAGCGTTTGTGGAGTGTTGGCAGACGTGGTGAACCAACGGACAGATTATGCGGGAAATTGCCGACTGATGACTTATTTTCGCACAGATGGGTACGAATTTACCTCACCTTATAGCTCAGAGAGGATTTCTATGGTGGTACCCAAAGCGGGGAAAGTCCCTCGTTGGCGCTCTCTCTTCAGTTGTTTCGACGCCCTTTCCTGGGGTTTGATACTAGTGATTTCGGTCATTAGTACCACTTTTTGGTGTTTTTTACGACCCGAGCACTTGACTAGGGCCACTTGGGAGATGTTTTCGCACTTGATGGGTATCCCTTGCAAAGTGGTACCTTCAAGGGGCCAGTTTACGTTTTTGACATCTTGTATGATGTTCAATATTATCATTTTGGGCATAATTCAAGGGTCGTTTTTTACCGATTTTACCACAACTTCGTACTACCCAGACTTGAATACTTTGGAAGAAGTACTTGAGTCAAATTTGCCAATAATGGCATTCGCGTGGCGACTTTTGGGAACCAACACATCTCCAGTTGTTAAAAGACTTAAAGAACGAAGTATTCCATTCGAAGATAATGTGTACGAACTTATAGCTCTTTATAGAAACGTTGCAGCTTTAGATAGAAGACTTGATATGGAGTTGGAAATTAAGACGAGATACACAGGACATGAAGGAGTTTCTCCTTTACATATTGTCGATGAGAATCTTGCTACTTTTTTTACTACTGGGTTGGTACCGAAAGGTTCCCCTTTTTTGATCGTTTTCAATCATGTCATTAGGAGTATGTTCGAAGCTGGATTGACTGCCAAGTGGTACGATGATGTGTTAAATAGCATGATTATTGAACAAAGACATAAAGTGTTCAGTTCTGGAACCAAATACAAATCTTTTACTTTGCAAGACGTGCAAGCAGCTTTCTACGTCATTGCAGTCGGCTACTTGTGTTCAATCTTTGTCTTATTGTGTGAAATTTTCACCAAATATAGTTGTTGCAGAATAGGTTAACAAACTATTTTTTGAAAAAAAAAATGGATCAATTGAACAAATATCAGATTTGTGTAATTACCAGCATGTCCTGGATAAAGTATTGCTTTGTGTGTTATTTTTGTACAATTCTAGCCCATGAATTATTAAAGACTTAATCAAATATTGATTAAATCTTTACAAATAATTGTTAATAGAAGCCAAAGCTTGTGGTTATAGGATGAATTTAGTTCAGTCTAATGACAGTTTAGACTCTTGTTTTAATGAGGATGAGTTTTGGATAATTTATTCCATACATTTTCTTCTTACAACGTCTTTAACTTTTACAACAGTGCAAACCAATAGTAAACAACATGACTTACAACTGCTTGCTCAAAAACTCATCCAAATTGTACTCAAAGAAGAAGTCACGGTTACAACAAGAGTGGAACACCTTATTTTGCTTAAAGATAACGTAAATTTCAATGTGGTGTTTCAAACTGGACTAGAAAAAAACCCCACAAGTGATTTTGTCAAAGGTTTAACAAAAATGAAGAAACTCACTTCGGATTCAAAGGAAGGTTACGTGATAATTACTTGGAATTTGGACATTTTGAAAACTTTCCTTGATCGACAAATCCTTGAAATAAATCCTACCACAAGGGCAACCTACCTTTTCATATTGATTTCATCCAGTGACTCCAAAAGGAAACTCGGAAAATTCTTACGCTTGCTTTGGGAAAACTACAATATTCTGAATATTGTGGTCTATGTATCAGGTTGTGGTTCCAGTAAAGTGATCATTTTTCGCCCATTTTTGCGAAACGAAAATTCTTGGGGCAAAATCACCGAACACAACATTGAAGAAATCGTCCATCAACCGATGCTCCTCACAAACTCACTTTTGAATTTGAATCAGTATCCTCTTCAAATTTCCCTTTTTGCGCGCGATCCCACGGCCATTAGACAGCTTCCCAAACTTTTGGAAAGCAATCCGATTTACAAAAATCTGAATTTCTCGAAAAGTTTTTTTGGTTTGGACGGTTCCATGCTGGGTACCATGGCGAAAATTCTCAATTTTGAAGTTGTCATAGTGGAAAATCACGACCGGTTGCATTTTGGACGCGTATGGCCCAATGGTACCGTTTCTGGTACTTTAGGAGATGTGGTAAATCGTCGAGTGGTACTCAGCAGCAATTCCAGGTTTCTTGCCGACTACAGCACCAAAGAAATTGAATATACTGTAGCCTACAATGGCGATTCTATTTGCATTGCGGTACCAAAGTCTCTACAAGTACCCAAATGGAAGGTTTTATTCAAGTGCTTTGATGCCATGTCTTGGTTGTTAATTCTTTTGGTTTTCATTTTGTGTTTCTGTTTTTGGTATTTTGTGGCTTTTAAAGAAACTTTCGGACGGATTCTTTGGGATATATACTCATTCCTGATGGGTATTCCCATCAGAATGGTTCCATCACTAAACCAACATCTTTTTCTGTCTTCTTGTATGGTTTTCAATGTTATTATTATACAGTTGCTTCAAGGGTGGCTTTATACAGCTTTTACTAAAACTGTTTTTTACTCAAATATTGCCACACTTGAAGCACTTGAAAAAACGAATTTGATGGTAGCAACAAACATGTGGTTTTTGATTAAAGACAATTCTGAAATTATCCAGAAATTGAGAAGTAGAGGAATTGAGAAAACTCCGAATAGTTTGGATTGGGTTGCTTACAGTCGAAATATTTGTGTTTTGGACAAGAAACTGGACTTGGAATTGTACTCCCAAGCTAAATATGTGGGACCTAATGGCTTGTCTCTTCTTCATATTGTAAATCAGTGTTTAACATCAGTTCTACTTGTTAATATAGTTCCAAAAGGCTCACCGTTTTTGCTTGTTTTTAACGATATTATGTCAAAGTGTTTGAAAGTGGTTTCACGAAAAAATGGTACAGCGATATGGCCAATAGCAGAGTTACAGAAAAAATGATTAGTTTAGAAAGAAAGAAAACGAGGTTTTCATTCAAAATAACAGATCTTCAGGCTGCATTTTACGTCATTATTATCGGTTATGCATTGTCTTTATTTGTCTTTTTTGGTGAACTCGTAACTTATAAATTGTTTTTATAATAAATTATTTAACGGAAAATGACATCGATTTTTATTGTAAAAATATAACAAATAGCGTAATTATGGCGTAGAGGAGGGAAATTATTAAATAAATACAAACTCCCCAAAGTTATTTAGTCAATACTTGACTCTATTTCAGCCATGGTAAAATATACCTTCACAACGATTTTAATAATTTCTCAAGCTCTAGAACTATATTTTTTGGAAATTCCTGAAAATATGTTTCAAAAGTGCCTTATTTATGACGATACTTTTTGGATCGTTTACCAAACCCATTTTCTTTTAATCGACTATTTGACATTCAATATTTTAGAAACGGAGGATCATAAATTTGAGTTGGAACAGTTTACAGAAAATATCCTCAAAAACATGAACCGTAACGGCCATTTTCTCTCAATTACGGTAAAAAGGAGTATTTTAAATAAATCAAAAAACGAATCTTATCGATACACTACGGCTTATACTAGTCAAAATCTAGAAACATTTTCCAGTGATGAAGAATTTTATAAAGTGAAAAAACTGTCAACTGACTCTACGCACGGTTTTGCCCTCATCGTTTGGGACTTGACGACTTTTCACCAGTTTCTTGATGAAAACTACCAGAAAATTATTCCGGAAGGTAGAGGGACTTATGCGATACAGATCGTTTCCACGCAATTTAATACAGAATGCAACATTATCAAAAACGAAATTGCTTTTACTTTGCAACGACTGACGACTCAATATCAAGTGATCAACGTTGTTGCCCAAACGCCATGTGCGTGTGAAAAAAATGAAATTTTTATCTACCACCCTTTTATCAAAACTGGGAGTTTTTGGGGCGTTGCAACTTCTCATACTTTGGAACAAATCAAAAACGACTCTAGATTAATCACAAACACGTTGAATGATTTTAAAGGATTTCCTTTGAACATTTCGATTTTCCCAAGAACACCTAACGCCATGCAGACTTTACCCAAGATGTTGCACCACAACCCCATTTACGGCAACTTGTCTTGGTCGAAAGGTTTTGCCGGTTTGGATGGCTTAGTTCTGGGCACTCTGGCAAAGTATTTTAATTTTGAGGTTGTCCTAGTGGGGAGTTTGCTTCAAAACGACTTTGGAAATATTTTACCCAATGGTACCGTTGTTGGAAGTTTGACCGACATCACTGAACGACGAGCAGTTTACAGCGCCAATGGAAGATTTGTGGCTGATTTCAATTTGGGCCAAATCGACTTTACCATCCCTTATACCAGAGAAGACATTTGTTTGGTGGTCCCCAAAGCAGCCAAAATCCCCAAATGGAAGATACTTTTTCAATGTTTGGATCCCCAATCATGGTTTTTGATCCTTATTTCCTACTTAGTGTGTTTCATGCTTTGGTTTAATATTGGCCCTTCGAAAAGTTTTCCAAAAGCTTCGTGGCAAATCTTTTCCTTTTTCATGGGTATTCCAACTAAATTTTTTTTGGAAAAACTGAACCAGGTGTTGTTTCTAGTCCCTTGTATGATTTTCAGTGTTGTTATTTTGGGAGTTCTCCAAGGATCGTTTTTTACTAAACTCACTGTGTTTTCTTTTAATCAAGATGTGAGCACATTGGAAGAAATGGCTGCTTTGGAACTGCCAATAGGTGCATTTATGTGGAATCTAATCCGAGACGATTCTGACGTTATCAAAAAACTGAAATCGAAAAGTGTTAAACCACCTGATAACATTTTCGACATCATAGCATATCAACGAAACATTGCAACTATTGAAACCAGAACTCGTGCAGATCTTTTTATCAGAAGCAAATATATAGACGATGATGGGTTTCCACTTTTACACATTGTCGATGAGTGCATAACTACATTTCTAAGAGCGAATATTGTGCCCAAAGGTTCTGCCCTTTTACCGATTTTTAATGACGTTATCAGCAGGTTGTTTGAGAGTGGCCTGACGAAAAAATGGAACGTTGATATCATTGATAGTTTAATTGCCGAAAAAATGATAAGTGCGAACAAGAAACAAATTAGGATGAAGGCATTTTCTTTGTATGATACTCAAGGAGCTTTTTTTGTAATTCTCGTGGGTCACACTTGTTCGATTTTAGTTTTTTTGTGTGAAATTGTTATGAAAAGAGAATAAAAAATTACAACTTATTATCTAAATCTTACTTATTAATTCCTTACAAAAGTGCTATAATAATCTATCTTCCTGTGAGAAACTAAAAGCATTCATTACAACTGACACAACGATTTTTAAACAATGATTTTTTTTGTAAAGTTTTAATGAAAATAGAATAAAAAATTACAACCCATTAAGTATCTAAAACGTTACTTATAGTTAATTCTTTACAAAAGGGCTATTATCTACCAATGAGCAAATAAATGTATTCATTACATTATTGAAGACAACAACTGAGACAACGATTTTCAAACTTTTTTATTTCTCACAATAACTATAAATTATTAAATTGGCAATCTTCTCTAACATGCCAATTAAATTCAAAGTAGATTTTAAAATCAATTATGGTTTATTATTTATGTAAGATTTTCTAATACCCGATAATTTCTTCTGTAAACAATACCAAACAATGGCCTAAAAGTAAATAGAATTAAGACTGATTTAAATAGAACAAGTCATTAATTAAATAGCCAATAACAAGACGAAATTTGACGAGTGTTCACTCAAGTTGTGATAAAATATTCAAAGTTAAAACAAATAATGATTTTTGGGGCTTCCTATTAGTTACACTATGCCACTACACGTATTTACTTTGATTGTTGTTTTAACTTTAATCCAAGTTATAATTTGTTTACTTGAAGTGCCTTACAATAACGACAAAGAGAAGCTCCTAAACGTCTATCAAAAGCATTTTATGTTGGTTCGTCATTTGACTTTTACTTTTTTATGTGATGGCATCCACCTAATCGATTTAGACGAAATTGTTGTGGAATTAATGAAAAGTTTAAACTTTTCGATTGTAATAAAAGAGAAAAGTTTAAATAAAAATAGTACCTTGTTTTTAGAAGAATGTATTGATGAGTATGTAGAAGTGAGTGATAAAAAGTTGCTTAAAATTAAAACACTTTTGTCAGACTCGTACGAGGGTCATGTCATAATTGTGTGGGATGTCAGAGTTTTATTAGCATTTCTGGAAGAAGATACCGAAATAGTATCCCAAGCAAGAGCAACTTTTGCAATTCTGTTTACATCCTCCGACTGCAAAACCTTCAAAAAAGAAATCAATCACGTCCTTAAATTACTCTGGACCAATCATGGAGTGGCAAATCTGATTGCGCAAATTTGTGACAATTTGTTTATTTACCATCCCTTCATAAAGAATGGCAATGCATGGGGGGTGACTCAGAATTATCCTCTAGATAATTTTATGTTAGTGTCAAATTCGCTTCAAAATTTCCAAGGATATCCCTTGAAAGTCTCCTTGTTTGATGGACCACCCACTGCTCTCAAACAAATTCCAACCTATATCTTACACAATCCTATTTATAGCGACTTAAAAACCGGTGATTTCGCGGGAATGGATGGTTGCCTTTTGAAATGTCTCTCCAACTACCTAAACTTTTCATTTTTAATCGACGAGAGTCACCCGACTCATGGTCGAGTACTGAAAAATGGTACCATCACTGGTAGTCTAAGTGACGTGGTTTTCCGCAAAGTGGACTTTAGTGCCAACGATTGGTTCCTGGTAGACTACCAAACGCGCGAAATTGAAGTGACAGTACCATTCAGTTACGATCAAATTTGTCCGGTGGTTCCAAAAGCGTTAAAAGTGCCACAGTGGAAGGCCTTTTTCTTCATTTTTGATGTAACTTCCTGGGTTCTATTTTTCTTTATGTGGATTTGTTGCATTTTTGTTTGGGTTGTTCTTAACTCATCTCGCGATTTGGCCACAGTTACATGGGAGATGTGTGCGGTTTTATTTGGGAACCCTGTCAATGTGGTACCACTGCCTCACCAGTATATGTTTTTGGGTTCTTGCATGGTTCTCAATATTATCATAATGGGGATCATTCAAGGATCTGTTTTCACTGATTTTACCACAACGACCTTTTACAACGACATTGATACGTTGGTAGAACTGGATCAAGCTGGACTACGAATCGCGTCTTCGGGTTGGTATTTGGATTTTGATACAACAAATTTGATCACAAGTTTGAAAACAAAGCAGATAAGAAACTACAAGGGTTCGTATAAAGACGCAGCTTATACGCGAAAATTGGCGGTTTTGGGACGAAAACAAGATGTGGAACATATCGTTAAAGTCGAATTTGTGGCAGAAGACGGATCACCACTTCTACATGTTACAAATGAATGTTTACAGACTTTCCTACTGGTCAGTGTTTTTCCAAAAGGTTCCCCGTTTTTAACTACTTTCAATCACGCAATTACGAAACTGTTTGAAGCTGGGCTAACTGCAAAATGGTACCAAGACGTTACATCTACTGGTACCATGATCCAGCAAATGAAAAAATTTGCAAACAAAATTCCCCAAGACTTATTTTCGCTACGTGATGCTCAATTAGCGATTTATGTACTTTTTGTAGGATATACACTTGCGTTACTTGTATTTGTAACTGAAATTGTAAGAGGAAGTAAATAAAGTTACGTTAATAATTTTTTTATTTATTTGTTACAACCTCACAAAAAAATAATAAAATTGAGCAAAGGTGTCCTATCGTAAGTATGTGAAACGCAGTTTGTAAGTCATTGATGTTCAAAGAATCAAAACTACCATTTTCGTCAAATTTTGGTCTTTCTTCGTCTATAATACCGTCTAAAACATCACGGTACCACTTTGAAGTGAGTCCGCCTTCAAATAACCTTACTATTATTTGGTTGAAAGGTACTAGAAAATGTGACCCTTTTGGTAGAATTCCGCAAAGTAAGAGCGAATTATGCCAATCTCCAACTATGTGTACCAAAGGAATACCATCTCTGGACGTGTATTGTGCCCTAACTAACAAATCTAAGTCACTTTTCCGTCTTAGAGTGGAAATATTTTGCTGATACGCAACTTGTTTCAAAATGTCACCTTTGGCTTCAATCAGGTGTGACTTGAGTTTTATCATTAAATCAGAATTGTCACCGTCTAGAAGAAACCAATTTTCGTTGGCGATTGGCAAGTTTGACGTGTATAAATCCTCAAGAGTGTCAATTTCTGGATAAAAGCTTGTTGTCGAAAATGCAGTAAACAATGATCCTTGAAGAATCCCAAAAATAGTCACATTGAAGAAAAAGCAAGACAATAGAAATACGAACTGACTAATCGATGGAACAATATTTTGGGGAATTCCCACGATGAAACCAAAAATCTGCCAAATAAATTTCCGAACGTTTCTAGATGGTCCGATAAAATACCAAACGAGGGTACTTGAAACACATGATAGAAAAATTAAAATCCAGGAAAATGTGTTGAAGCATTTAAGAAGTGTTTTCCAAGTTGGTACTTTAGGGGCCTTGGGTACCACCACGCAGAGTTGGTCAGAAACGTAGGGAAACGTATATTCAATTTGTTTGGTTCCATAGTCCATCAAGAATCGACTGTTAATACTTAAGTGCACTCTGCGATTGACTACATCGCCCAAGGAACCAACCACGGTACCATTTCTTAGTACTCTTCCGTACATATTCAAATTTTCTACAATTACTGGATCAAAATTAAAATAATCGACTAATTCTCTTAGAAGAAAACCGTCCAAACCTGCGTAGCCTTTAGACAAACTTAAATTACTGTATCTTGGATTTGTCTTGAGCGATTTTGGTAAATAGTCAATTAAAGTTGGTTTAAACAAAAAAACGGAAATTTTTAATGGGAATTGATTCAAATTTCTTAACTTATTAGACTTCGTTGCATCGACCAAGTTGCAACTTTTACAACTCCCCCAGGAGTTACCACTGTATTCAAAGGGCCAAAATTGGTAAAGTGTGTCACCGGGACACGGGTTTTGCATGACTACATTTAAAACGTTATATTCACACCAAAACTTTTTCAAAATTTCACCAAAGTTGTTGTGCACAGTGCTACAATCTTCTTGAAGAATGAATATATAGTAAGTACCTTTTTCCTCCGGTACCACCGTCAAATTATCAAGAAATTGCTTAAGTATTTTGAGGCTCCAGACGATAATTATGTAATTTAGAGTTACATCACTTTGGTTTTTGCTCAAGTACTTTTCTTGTATCACAACAGGTGTGTCAATTTTACGCAAGATTTCTTCTGCTAAATCTCTTATTTTGCGTCGTTGATTATTACTCTGTAGCATCGATATTGTCACAGAATTGGCAGATTTGAAGTATTTTTTTAAATACTGGAAATGAGCTTCACTGAGATGAACATTATCTGGCATAGTTTCGTTAAAAAAAAAGACTAATAACACTAGCCGAAAAGTAAATCGAGTCATTTTCATTGTTATTTTTTTATAAAATATCAGTTTGCGGCCCAAATCATTGTTTTACCGTTAGTGGGGAAACCAAAGTAAATTATATAGAATTAGCAACTTAATTATTTATTAGTTATAATACAAAATTAGTGTTTTGACGTGGTGTTTTTACTATTGTGCCAACAATAAAATATCGAACTAAACAAACAATTTTATTTACTGTTTCTTTGTTGTTGCATTAAACTGACATGAACTGCACTCATCACCAGAATAATTCGTTTCAAACTAAATTATCACTATCAAAAAAGTGATAATGGCATTAAACATCTTAAAGATCGTTTATTTTGGATAAAAAACTTTATTTTTCTTCTTAATTTTGCCCGCCTCCGATTAAGGGACACCTCTTCACAACTGACAATTAAAGATTCCTCATCGGTGTTCGTTGTTGAGATGTTTAGCTGTAGTTGTCAAATAAATAAAACCGCCAATGTGATAGGACTTAAAAAGCAGAAAAAAATTATTCTAAGTCGAGAATCAAGAGAAAAATTAACTTTTCTTCTTACTGAAACAGAGTAAGTACAGCTTGTTTCAGGTGAAGCAAAAATTGTTTTAAAACATTTTATTCCACTTAAGGCATTTTCTTTGTATGATACTCAAGGAGCTTTTTTTGTAATTCTTGTGGGTTACACTTGTTCGATTTTGTTTTTTTGTGTGAAATTATTATGAATAGAGCATAAAAAATTACTACTTATCTAAAATCTTACTTATTGTTAATTCCTTACAAAAGTGCCATAATCTATCTTTCTGTGAGAAACTAAAAGCATTCATTACAACTGACAATGATTTTTAAATAATGATTTTTTTTTAAAGTTTTAATGAAAATAGAATAAAAATTACAACCCATTAAGTATCTAAAACGTTACTTATCGTTAATTCTTTACAAATGTGCTATTATCTATGAATGAGCAAATAAAAGCATTCATTACGTTATTGAAGACAACAACTGAGACAACGATTTTCAAGCAATGACACTTTTAATTCTCTCAATAATTATAATTCTTGTTAAGAATTTGTTAGGAAACACTCTAATGCAAACTAGCGATAATCTTCTAAACCAATGTTTCTTTTACTCCGACAATTTTTGGCACGTTTGCAAAAACCATTTTCTTCTGGTGAATTCATTAACTATTCAAGTTTTGCAAACAGATGAGCACCAATACGACCTAAACCATTATACTGTTACTCTATTGAAACAAATCAACAGTTTAAATTTGATAGTGGTTTTGCAAATGCAAGAATTTTTTTTATCTGGACGAAATTCCTCAAAACGTACTTTTACCAATCACACTTATAGTACCATTAAAGAAAAGTTTGATCCAATTGATGAGCAAGAACTCTCTCAACTAAAACGACTCTCTTCTGATTCGTCCAAAGGCTATTTCATCATAATCTGGGACGTTGACTC